TCCAGTGCCTTTGTGTCCCACAGGTGCCACAGGCAGCAGGGGTGGGGAAGGAAAGATACCTAGGAACTGTGCAGCCTCCCAGGATCTCAGACTATAATTTAACAAATATTTTAAGCTATTACAAAGTGACAAACAAGCCTTACTCCTTGCTTTGGCTGCTTGCAGGTGCTTCTTTCTGTTTGCAAAAGTGCAGTGTGTGGAACTGGAATAGAAGCAGCTAAAAAATGGACAGTTTGGGGATGTGGGGAGTTGTTTAGCCCATGGCCACTGCGGTGCTTATGCCACTGAAAAGGAAAGGACAGTAGGGGGAGAGAATGTGCAGCTGGAACAGGAAGAGGGGAGGACTATGTTTTTAATGGAAGTGTTGGCTTGAACCGGCTTCCCAGCATCTGAGGATGAAGGCCTCAGAAATATACAGGCAGGACTGAAATGTGTTGTGGAACACTGCAGGAAATGGGTTGAATGTAACAAAAGTTTGGAAATGGAAAAGTTTGAATGGAAAATACTAAAAATTGTACTCTATCAAACCAAGTATTACATGTTGTCAGTGGTCATGAAGCACTGGGAATGTTTTAACAGGTCTAATGTTTTTAATGACTTGAAAATGCTGGCCATGTGGGTTAGCTTATTTAGTAAAGCTCTGAGTGAAAGCAAAGAGGAACAATTTAAATGCTTTGGGTCCCCAGTTTAAACCAGCCCTGCTCTAGTTGTCTTCTCTATGCCAGACTCTCTGAGGCTGCTGTGGGCAGCAATGCCACCACCAAAATGCAGTGGCGTTGTTAATGTTTTTCCAAAGCTGCTGTTGAGCTGTGCTATCCCATGCCTCCTGTCTGTCTTCTGGAGGGATATGTCTGTAAGATTATAATTTGGTTTGGCTCCTTACCAGCCACTTTCACTCCCCACCTCTGGAGCTCAGGGCTCAGAGAGCAGTCCTGGTGCAAGGAGCTCGCTGGAGGGTGTTCCCTGCATGCAGAGCATGTGCTGGAAACAAGATCTGTGTGTGGACCTTGCTTTGCGTGCATGGAGGTGACAGGCCTCTGTGCTTCTCAGAGGGGTCACTCCTCCCGTGCAGGTATGCAGCTGTAAAAGGTGTATGATGGTTTCCAACCACCCTGTGCATACACTGTGCACACAGCTGTGGCAGTCTGGTTGGACTCAGCAGGTCTGGACAATCCCCAGATTCCAGTGAGGTCTCTAGGTTAATAAGAATGTTAATACATAGAGAGCACAGAGGAAAAGGAGGCCTGCATCTGCACCCATTGCCGTGGGATCATCTGGGGGAAATGCCTCCCTTCTGTCTTGCACATGGTTTCTAATCCTCCTCCTCCCACATGGGGCAGCTTCCTTTACAGAATCACATACATGATTTCATCCCATTGAATCTCAGCTTGCTCAAGAAGTGGTTTGACACTCTGACTTCACAGTACTCATCCGCTGCTTGAGCTCAGTCTGGGAGTGTCACCCTCACCCTTCCCACTCTGGCTGTCTGCAGCTTTCAGAAGCAGACAGGTTCTGTTTCCAGCATAACTCTGCAGACATTAGTCCAGCAGATGGAGCAAATGGCTGAATGAGCAAGGCCTGCACAGGGTGCAGGGGCCAATGAGGTGCAGGGAGAAGCGAACCATAGGGACCCAGTCCTGTTTGGAACCTCTCAGTTCCTTGCTGTTAGCTGTGTATCCCAAACAATGCAGCACAGTGTGCATTACAAATAGAGAATGGAGTATTTGGAAAATATCCATAAGCAAACACGACTGAGAGAAAGATGAGAAATGAGTTGCTCTGCTGCAGTGGTGCTGAATAGAGCAAATGCTGGCCATGCCTGCTTCCCTGAGGTCAGCTTGTTCACTCCCCACTCAGGTGTCCAGAGCAGCAGTGCTCTGGGCTCTGGCAGAGGGGCATTGGACTGAATGCAAATTTTAGAGATCCTCCTATAAGATTCAGCAGGCAGTGGTCTTGTTCTTTAAGTTGGTTTCAAGCTCTCAGAGTGACACAAAGATCAAAGTTAATCCAATGGCAGGATTTTTTAGAGGACTTGGGATTGTTGGGTAGCCCTGAAATAGGGAAGTGGATCTCCTTCCCAGCCCAGCATCCTGCACTTCTGTTCTATAGCAGCCTGAGATCTTCTGGCCCGTGTTCATCAGTGCATTTGTGCATTCTTCCCACCTAACAGTTGCACTACCAGCTTGCTGTTGAGTGTGTGTTCTCCTGAATTATGGGAAGTACATGGTGTCCAGTTCTTGTTATTCTGCAGTCACATTTCCTCTTCCTGGACAGTCGCTGTGGTGCAGGCAGGAGCACCTGCCAAGTCTTACAGCTGGCTGTCAGTCTGATGGAAGGCTTTGGGTTCTGGATAAAACTAGAGACTGGGACAGGGTTGTTTGGTGGTTTCGTTTGAGCTCACACCTTCTTGGCCAGCTCTTGTCAACTGCAGCTAACCAGCCTTGTCCTCCAACAAAATCCTCATGGCTTTAGGGAGCTCATGTCTGACCAATGCTAACAGATACCAAAATTAGCTACTGACCACTTTCGACCATGCTGTATTCTGCTCAGGATTGCCCCTGAAATGCTTGAGACCTCATTAAAAAAAAAAAATTACCAATTTGTCATTGGTTCAGCCCTCTGTAATGCAGTGGAATGGGCTAGTGAGAGGTTTAAACTGGGCTGTGGACAGCTCTGAGATTGTCACATTACAGGTTAGAATCATAGAATATCTCAAATTGGAAGTGGCCCATAAGGATCATGGAGTCCAACTCCCTGCTCTCCCAGGACTACTAAAGCTAAACCATATGACTGAGAGCATCGTTCAGACAGCCTGTGAATTCTGGCCATGATGACTTCCCTAGGACGCCTGTCCCAGTGTCTAATTACCATCTCAGTGAAGAAAGGTTTGCAGAGTATTCTTCTCTGTTCAAAGTCCCATCTCCAGTCCACAACAGAAGGGTGTCAGAATGGTAGTAGAATGCTGGAGAATGAGCAATGACACATTCAGTTGAAAGCTTGCTGTGGCATGGGAAGGTTTTGTCCTCTGGGACTGTGGCACCAGACAGTGGAAGAAGCATCCTCAGAGGACTGCTTAGAAAAGTTACATTGCCTCTCCTGGTGCTGCCTCTCTCTTCAAATTCATTTCAATTCTCACACCCACTTAAGCTCTCCTAAAAATAATTTTAAAGTGATACCTGAAGTACTAGCCTGGGCTGAATTATTTTTACCCCCTTTATGTCACTTTTCAACAGGGAATCTAAATGTACTTCATAAAGAAAGGCAAACAGAGTTCCTCAATTTTCAGTAATACCTTATGGAAATAGCAGAACAGGAAAAAATAATGATTGCATTTAAAAGATCTGTGGGAGCCTTGGTTTAAAGTAAATAGATGTTCGTGCCAGTTTGAAGTCATCAAGTAATAAGTAATCTCCAATGAGCAAATTTTAATGGCAGACAACTTCCTGTACCGTATTAATGGCTTCTTTTCCTTGGTAGTGAAGTATCCATCCTCAAATACCAAAATGCTGCTGCCAGTGCAACTCTGACAGATGTGTGTGCTCTTTCTTACAGCTGTCCAGCCTCCCACCCCACCTTCTGTTCAGCCAGGAGAGGACCAGAAAGCAAATAATATAGTTACCATCACTGGTATCTCCCTGTGCTTGTTCATCATCTTTGCCACAGTTCTTATCACTCTCTGGAGGAAGCTCTGCAGAGCTCAGAAGTGCAGCACCGCTGTCCGACGAAACTCTGTCCATTCCCCCGGCTTCCGGAAAAATTCAGATGAGGAGAACATTTGCCAAGGCAACAAGCAACGGGACAGCTTTGCTGAAGGAGGGGATGCCCCTGTTAACATTCCCCTAACCTACAGGCGAAGCCTCCAATTTGCCCAAGAAGATGATGTGTCTGGAAGTGAAAGCTTTCAGCCAAATGCCCAAAAAATAATCCCTCCAATTTTCAGCTACCGTCTGGCACAGCAGCAGCTGAAAGAGATGAAGAAGAAAGGCCTGACAGAGACCACTAAGGTGTACCATGTCTCTCAGAATCCTCTCACGGACACGGTTCTTGGTGCCACCTCGATGCTTCCTCTGAGTGGGGAAAACCAAGAGGAGGCAGCAGCAAACAAATTTCGGATCAAATCTCCATTTCTGGACCAGCCAGCCAATCAGCCCAAGTTCCTGGGAGAAGGCTCTCACCCTAGGTTGGATTTTCCATTCTCACAGGCCAATCCTGCAGTGAGCCCTACCCAAACCTTGGTAAGAAGAGGTCATTTCAAGCACCAAGATAACAGAGTGGACTTGCCTGAGAGGGGCTGTCACAGAAACTCACAGTTCAGAAGAACAGCCAGTTTCCATGAAACTAAAAAGGCCAGGCCTTTCAGAGAGAGAAGCATGTCTACTCTCACACCTCGACAGACTCCCCTCTACAGCTCCAGGACCAGGACGTGGGACCAGGGTCTGGAGGACAGGACACGGCCAAAATCAAGAAACGCTAATGCAGCTTGTGAAAAGCTGGATCAGCCCCACGGCACTGTGCTGGGGTGTGAACCACAGGGCCATGGCGCAAAGCCCCACCACAGGGCAGGTCCCCCAGTGAGGAAGCTGGACCTGATCACAGATCGCCAGCCTGCTGGTCAGGAGAAGGCAGCTGAGAAACCTGAACCCAGCCGAAGTAAGAGGGGCCCTTCACCTAACCCCAAAGGTGTGTGGCGGAAAGAGACCGGCCCAAATGGCAAAGATAATTCCCAGAGAGGCCTGAGCGTCAGCCCTGCCCAGTATCGAAGGGACAAGTGCCAGAGCTTCCCCCTGGACCCTGAGTTTGCCTTTTATGACAATTCTACTTTTGGCTTAACAGAGGCAGAGCAGCAGATGATCGACCTCCCTGGGTATTTTGGCTCAAATGAAGAAGATGAAACAAGTACTCTGAGCATTGAGAAGCTGGTGATCTGAGTGACTCATTGCGGCCCTGCAGGAGTGGTGTGCGTGGGAGAGGATCTGCAGGATCGGTTGGCTTCTGGTGAAAGAAAAAGCAAGAATCACGTTACCTCCACACACAGCAGCAGGGAGTAATGCCCCAGGTCTGGCTTGTGGGAACATATTCCTTTCTAATTACTGAAAAGTGCTTTCATATAATTATTTTTTGTATGTATGTGTGTACAAGACACACAAAGTACCCTGGGAAAGAAGGTGTTAGTTAAGGTGTGGCACAGGAATGGCCAATAGATTTTATTGTGTAAAGCAGTCATGTTTTGTGCATCATACATGATAAATGCCGCTGACATTTCCCACCTTGTCTACTGTGTACTGGTAGACTGTGAGATATTGAAGCATCCACTGTCCAGCACCCTCAGCCATCTGCCCTGATTAGTGAATCATTTCCCATCTAGAAAGCACAAAGCTCAATCTGTGGGCAGTTTTCATAATTTTTCTGATAGTCATCAGTGAACTGCATTGATTTGTAGGTGTTGCTCAAATAACTCATATGGTGAGGGGTGTTTTAGCTGGTTGCATGAAAGTGCAAACAATTGATGCTGAATACTTGAGTGAATTTAAATTGAGGAGACATTTTCATCATTCAAGACTTGATATTTTCTTACTGTCAATATTTATATCAAGAAAACAATGTACAAATATTTGCAGGAAATTAGTACAAAAGGCATGCTACAGGGAGGGCAAAGAAAACAGATTATCAGATTTTAGTCCTCAGAGAAATGTCACCGCAGCATGTTACCTGTAAAAAGCAGTGAGAGAACGGTTGAATTATGCATCCTTTCCATAGTCATCCTTTCCTTTATTAAAATTTTTAAATGCAAATGCATTGACCATAATACTACTATGGCAAGCTCAAAATAAATTATGAACAAAACCAGCAAACAACAAGATTATTTGATTAATACCTGTTCTGGGAACAAAAAATTAAAATGGCTTGACAATATCAGGTGATTCACAGAGAATCTTATAGCATCATTTACATTGGAAAGACCTCTAAAATAATTAAGTCCAACCATTAACGTAACACCACTGTGTTCACCACTAAACCATACCCCTGGTATGTTTTAGTGGTGAACACACTAAATCACGTGCATACACCTTTTGAACACTTCCAAGGACAGTGATTCCACTGCTTCCCTTTGATGCCTGTTCCAATGCCTGACCACTCTTTCAGTGAGTAAACTTGCCCTCATATCAAATCTAAATCTTCCCTGGCACAACTTGAGGCCATTTCCTCTGATCCTCACTTTTTACCCGGGAGAAGCGGCCAACCAACCCCTACCTTGCTACAGCCTCCTTTCAGGGAATTGTAGAGAGCAGTAACAGTGAACTACAAAAGCCATGATGGGCTTTTTTGTTGTGTTTTAAAACCAAACATCACAAATTTGACATTAGATACTGCTGTAAGTATTCAGAGTTGGGTTGGAACTCCAGTTAACAGCAGAAGCAGACCTCAGGCCTTTGTGAATGACTAAGACTTTTCTTGCCATTTGTTAGGATAACTGTCTCTCTGGGGACTTTGCAAAGACCAGGGGAATGCTAGTGAGCAGAAACAAGAAAAAAAGGAGAAGATGCTGCCCATGGAGGTTGGTGTAAGAGGAGAAAGGTTTAGGCAGTGGACTATTAGACTGAAATCAACTCTCCCCTAAGGAGCTTAACCCCACATGCCCTTTAACCTGCCTTGTGGGTGTGAAAGCGAAATTAACATGTGCTCCATTGTCAAGAAGGAGGCTGCTATCTTTCTCAAAACTGGCTTTCTGAGCAGAGAGATTTCCCAATCCCACATTCTTCCCCCCAGCCCTGCTCTGCCACAAACCAACAGCAATTTTAAAGGAAGAGCAGCATTGCTGTGTGTAAGCGATGGCACCCCACTGCAGTGTCCAAAGCTGACATGGATAGCTTGACAGGCACACGGTGTTACCTGCTGTAACAACATAGGAGGAGCAAGCCTCAGCATTTGGCCACCAGAGCCAAATCTGGCTGTTTGAATGGCCTTTCTGATGGTCTTTCATGATGTGAGCTCCTTCTTTCCCTGGAACCTTGCCAAGATGCTGATGTTCAGCCCTTGGCCCTGCGTGGTGTTGGTACCAGCAATGTGTTCCCATGAACTGTCAGCTTGAAAAGCTGTTTAAATCATCTAAGAAAATGTTCTCGCTTGAAGAGTTATCCAAAGGCAATCAAATGTAATGAGTCTTTAAATTGACTTAAATGAGCTGGAAAGCAGACCTCTGAAACAATTGCAGCTCAGGTTACTTACCCTGCCTGTACTAAGGTAAGGTCTGTGGTGTGAAGTACCTTTTCCCTGAAGCAGTGATCCATCATCATTGGAGCTGTAGGGCTACAGTATCTGTTTAAGCTTTGTTGAGCCTCTCAGCATGGGAGAGAGACCCTGTAGAAACAGGAGATCAAATGGTCAGTGCAGCAATAGTCAGCAAGCATTCCCCTAAACCTTCAGCGGGAGGGATTGGAGCTTGGCATAGCACTCAGATCCAGTAAGTACTCAACTAGTGGCATTCTACCCTGTTTATTAGGACTAAAGGTGGTTCTGAAATGCTTCCTGAGGTTTGCTGTGGGATTTGTAGGCTCCTGCACAGAGCCCTGTGACCCTTGCATCTCAGTGGAGGTTTCCTTTGCCACAGAAGGACAGAGAAGGGGCAACATTGCTCTTAATCAGATGGTGCTTTCTGCAAAGTTGTCCCAGTGTTGGGCTGTGTTATGCAATAGATGTACTTAGGTACATTTTACATCAAAGGCAGCAGGGCAAACCTCTTCCCTCGCAGCCTGTCATACCTTGGCCTCCCTTTACCTCTCAGAGACAGGAGAAATGCCCTGACATTGATGCTGGCTGAAGGCAGTCCAGCTCTAATGCCTGCCCCTCCACACTGACACACAGGGAAACAGGCTCCATCCTCTGGACTTTACATCACTCATTGCTCACTCACTGGGGAACTGGACTGGGTGCAGGTTGTCTGATTAAGCCCTGCTGACTTCATCTCCAGCTTGATAATCCATTATCAGATGGGTTACCAGATGCTTAATGAACTGCCACACCACAATGCTGTCCCCTCAGTGCTGTAGTTTCCACAGTCTTTGCCCTACTTCCTTAGCTCTTTACTGAAGGGTGGGATTGAGCATCAACTGCCAGAAGGTATGAATTTATTTCATTCACATTTCTCAGTGTCATCAAAATAAAAATTATCCTCTCTGCCTTCAGCACTTATCAGGGGCCATGCAGTTACAATTTGTGCAAAGTCATTCCTTATGTCCCAACATGCAGTTACTATCTTGCACTGAGATTTTATCTTATCAAAATACAGCAGCAGTGATCAGAAGGGAAGGAGTGAGTAAGTGCTGCCTTTTTGCAGCCCTTTCTTCACAAGGGCAAGATGTCTCATTTCAGACATGTTGGTGAAAATTTCATTCTACATGAGTATGCTTGAGAAGAGGGCTGGGGGCAGTCTAGCCAAGGGCACAGGTTCATGGAGCACAGCTCCCTGGAGTGCTGCCCATTACGCTGGGATGTTCATGCTTGCAGTCACTGGGATGTCTAGGAAGCAGAGGAACCAAACCAAGTTTTAAACTGAATCTTCACCTCATGCCTCTGCATTGTCTCCAGGACAGCTTGAGCCATGAAAATTAAACTTACCTTGCAGACCCTTTCAACTACCCAGGACAACAGGTGAAAAAGCACCAGAGCCAACACTGAAAGAATACATTTCTCTTATTATGAGCTTTCCAAGATTTTGATCCAGATTTCTGTTCACATTCCTATTGTTGAAAACTAGATAAAACGTATTAAGTCCTACTCAGATGGTTTTATTTCACTCTTTATCAATATGTATACAAATTACAGTATGTATGGATATAAAAGCAAATAAATGGAAAAGTAATACCAGTTAAAAATTTAGAAAAATCAGAAAAAAGGGAAACAGGTTAATTCTACAGCATGGTAGTTAAATTATTTGCATCAAGCTGATACTGCTGTTCATTTTTAACTGTTGTTTTTAACAGCTGTAGAAAATAAATTTTCAGTATTCCATTTCTTTCATTTGTGTTGCTCTTTCATTCCACCCCAGTGAGACAATGAAAGCAGTGTGCCTTGTGGTTCAACCACTTTCTGATTCCCCTTCACTAATGCAAAGTCATCTGGTAAATTACAGGAGAATATATGAATTGTGACTGCATTTTAGGAACTCCTATGAATATCTGCATTCACCTTAATTTTAGTAAAATCTGCATAATTTTAATCTGCCGTTTAAATCTGGTTGGCAGGATTGTCTTTGTCTGCTTTAAAGTCTTGTGCTGTACTATAGCAGTGGATCTGCAGTGGGAAGCTATTGGAATGGAATTCACACTGTCCATATTGCGGGTGTTTACTTTGAAGCAGCCTTAGTCTGGATGCAGACTAGCAGTTGGAGCATGTCCATCCACAGGTTTGGTTTCACACACTGCAGGAGCACTCTGCAACTGAAGTGTGGCAATTAGAACCATAGGGAAAGTGGCTTAAAAACATTCTCCTGATGCAGAGCAAAGCACTAACAAAGGCACAACAGATGAAGTCCAATTCCCTGTCCCCTTGTTCTTTCTATCCTGATGTTCTCATAACTGAAACACTGATGGTTAAAATCAAGATGAGAAGGGTTTATACCTTAGAAAGTATAGATTGATTAAAGGACACGCTTGATCCTTCTAAGTCCAGAGAACTTTCAATAAACATTCTTCAACAAAGTCTTGAAAACTGCTGAAAAATAAATCTTATCTTGTGACTGTGATCCATATGTTTTTTATTAAATTGTCTGGCTGTGCTCAAACAACTCGTGCTGTTAGCTTCAGGTAGCAGAAGCAGGTGCAACTCCAGCTATCAAGTGCAGGTTTGGTGATTGGCAGCAGCAGAGCACTGGCTATCAACTTACACCATTCTTTTCAGCCTGTGCTTTTTCTCTTTCCAAAGCAGCAGGTTTCAGCTGCCCTGACTGTTGTCACCATCTCCGCTCTCTCCGTCGATAAAGAATGGAGCCCTGATTTTCATGGCTGAATATTTCAGTGAGTACCACATCCCGTGCCATGTAGACCAAACCAAGCCGTCATCATGGGGTCCACTGTACCTCCCTCTTTTGTAGTATCGCCCATTGAGGTTTACAGCATGGCACCTTGGAACAATGTAGGAAAGACAAAAAGGGAATTCTGTTTAGCATGAGAAGATACTGCATCACTGCAGTGAAGTACCATTCTCACACAACATATATATAGATATACCAGGGTGGGATGGACTAAATGGTTAATGCTTTTAGTGGAACACAGGAATATGTGGGTCATCCTAAATCAGACACCTACACTGGTGAGATAATTCTGCCTGTTGACTCCTTTGGGTGTATTAACTACAGGCATTGGAACTGCATGGCCTGAACAAAGTGGTGTAGTGCCATTTGGTATGCTCTAGCTCAAGTGTAGGCAGCTCCATATTGACACCTAAAAATGCAGATGTCTTTTCATTGAGGTAAATCCTGTTACTGATGTAAATTTTTGTAGCTCCACCAATTTCAGTTGTTATGTGATGAGAATCTGGTCTAAGAGGCTCATCCTGCACTAAAGCAGAGAAAATCTGAGAGTGTAACATCCTGGATTCCAGGGCTGTTAAACACGAGTCCTTATCCATTGATGTGTGGCATATGCCCAAACAGCAATTATACCCTCATAACTTATGGGGTAACTCTGCCCTTGGACATGCTCCGTTCTAGGGAAATGTCCTTTGTACACTCTTCAGCTTACCATGGCTACAGTTGTTTTCTTCACTGGAGTATAACACAAACCACTTTCAGGAATTTTAACTGAGCTCTTTTCCTTCCAGTTCATTGTCCCCTGTGCATTTGTTCTGAACCATTTTCTTAAAGTGACTTCAACTTACCTGATTTGCTATAATAAAAGTAGTAAATTGTTTTGCTTTGAGGATCTGTAGGTCTGAACATCTTAGGTTTGGCTGTGCGAGGTGGCAAGTGCACACAGCAACCTCCAGCTGCTGTAAGGCAGGCAAGTCCTCTCAGCTGTGCAGCCACCCACAACCTACACATCCAAGAGGAATCAGCTGTTTTCCATACCTGTTAAACCACCAGCCACCCTTGTTCTCTGATGCACAGTTGCCAGCCAGGAATTGATCGTGATCCTTATCAAATGTGGTGAACTGCATCCCTCTGTGAGAAGCTGACCACTGATCTTCAAAATTGCTCCCACCAGACAGAGCGTCGCCAGCATTACCAGAATAGGTGCCAAACCATAACCTGTAATTTTCCTGCAAGAATATATGAAACATTTATTTGATATCCATTCTTTCTGCCTTTCCTCACAGTTTTAAAGCCAAATTAGCTCTGGACATTTCATCCACTGTCAAAGGCATGCCTGTTGAAGTCAAGGGTGACTTTTGTCTCCATGCTTTAATGATCCTAGTGTAGATCAATGTAGGATTTAAACTTCCAGAAGGGATTGGTAATTACTGCTGCTGCTACAAAAGGCCCCAGGTTTATTGTCATTCAACAACCATTTAATACACTTCACAGCAAGATGGAAAGCTCTTTCTAGCTGATCAAGAACAACTTAGCAGAAAACTGCCAAGTGTCAAGTAATTGCCTTCATAAACAGATCAGTTCTTCAGCTAGAATAAATGCTTAGGCATTTTCCTCTTCCAAGCACTAGAAGCCATCTGATTTCTATTATCTGGTCCTGGTAGGAATATTTAGAATAATAGTTCCATTGTGCACAGCTAACAGGTCAAAGAGATATTTGATATTAAGTGGATGGTCACATTTGTGTTGTGGGCTTTCTCCTGTCATCATTGGCCTCATTTCTTTATGAAAAATGGCAGTAAGGTATTGAAATGCAGCTGTTCAAACTTTTCATAAGAAACCTCTAATTGCAAACTGAGTGTCATGTTCACATTTCTGGAGCAGTGATGGAGTTGGAACTAGAACATGCAATATCCTTGGTTATTTGGGCTACTTATATGTGGTGTTCAGGAAGGCACGTCTGCAAAGAACAGCACCTATATGGAGCTGGACGATGTCTACAGCTAGAAAGCACAGCATGAAAATACAGGATGTGTCTGTCTCTGAGCTTTCTGTGTCTGTAGCAGTAGGTATAGCACTACATATACCTCTCTTCAAGACAGGAACTTGCAACTGCTCTTTCAAAGCTTTGATTAGAATTCCCTGTTTTATTTTAAAACAAAGTTGAGAGGATTTGTTCTGGCATTTGCCTTTTGTGTGACAGTCTGAAACACTCTCTTAGAAAGCAGGAGAACAGGGTTCCATTTAGTTGCAGAGGTTCAAACCCTAAGGGTCTTCTCACTCACAGAAGACTCTTTTAATCATGAGGCCAGAGGCAAATACATGTGGGAATCCCTGTGCCAGGGAACTGCCCTCTGTTCAGCAGCACAGTTAGCAAGAGGGCACAAACGTGTGATTCTATCACCCACTGACCTGGACACTCATTTGTAAGGAAAAAGTCCCAGGTTTATGTCCCTGATTCCAGGGCTGTTTGTCAGTTGGACAAACTAGGAAGCCCAGGAAACCAGAGCAGGTAAGATTTGCAGAGCTGTAGATACAACCCTGATGCTGGTGTGATGCTGTGTATGCAGCTGCCCCACCCTCACAGACCAAAGGAAGAAAACCACTGCTCTCTCCATTTCTTACCTGCTCATTTGCAAGCTGGAAATTTTCATAGATTGCATAACGTCTTTCCCCATGCCAGTCCATCAGGTCAATCTTTAATGAGTTCTCTCCTAAACATAAAGTTGTGTCATGTTAGATGAATACCTAATGCAAATCAGAAAGAAATCTATGGAGAAAAAATACTTGGACCTCTAGCAAGCAGGTCATGGATGTGGTCATTGCCCAGCCAGTATTCATCATTCTTGCCCTGGAATTTCCCAAATCCCAGTTTGTAATCATCCCATTTCCTGCAGAGAAAAATTTATAGATATAAATTTCATCATGAGAGGGAATTAGACAGTTTGTAACACTTGAGTATGGTAACAAGTAAAACTTACCTTTATGTAGATACTGTTTTCTAAAAGTATCTGATTCATCTAGGAGTAAATACAACTCACAACTTTCACAGTTTTCCCCTGCTAAACCTGTGCACACACATATATGGGGATCAAACGTTCAAACTGCTAGATGCAGTGCTCACAGACTGATGTTTCCAGTAAAATGCAAAGGGAAAGCAACAGCTGTCATATTGGTCTTCAGCAAAACACCTGATATTGTTCTTCAGCAAGTCATAATTAACCTGATCTATATATTACCTTTGATATTCTCATATACTTCAGTGTGTGTCATCATTTCGAGTTTTAGTAACCCTGTGTTTATTCCTTCTCTCATGTTGTTATTATGGATATTCATTCTGCCTGACCTTCATACTAGTAAATGCTCCTCTTCAGGATGTTTTTATTTCATCTGAACTACCATGGCTAGATAGCTACCACTCTCTGGGTAAACTGGCTTAGAGTCACTTGTAGTAACTTTAACTTAAAGCATAGACTTTAGAAGGCATTAGATATGCCCTGAAATTGTGTGTACTGTGATAGTGAATTAACCTTCATGGGGACATTTCTTCTGAACTGTGCTACCAGAGCATCTCTCCTCCTGTAAATTTCAGTATGAAAGTCACCTCTCTGGGATTTTGCATAGGAAAAGGACAATCTGGTTTGGCATTTAAAAAAATTAACTGAACACGATAATAAATGTTACAACATGCTGAACATAATTCCTCATATCAGAACAGATCTGTTCAACAGGTCTCAGTCTGTGCTCTGGTAGCAGACACCTGCCAATTTGGAGCCTTTGACAGTCTTCAATAATGATAAAATATGCATTCAAATACAGAGAACCCACGGAAAAGAAGTTACAGATCCATTTTGAAAACGGCCCCCTGCTGCCAACAGGTACCACCAGATTGTTCTAATCCTAAATTATCATCATTAATATATAGTCTTGCATATCCTGCTTCTCAAGGGTGGGGGTTTGCCTGGCAGCAGGACTGGGGCAGGAGCTGTTGGCCTGACTGCAAGCCCTGTTGATGCAAGAACAATGCACCCACCTGTTGAAATTCTCCTTGCCGTTACTGCGCCGCTGAATGACAGTCCAGCCCCCGCCATCAGACATGTCACAGAATGCCAGGAAGGGCTCTTGCTCTGCTCTGGGCCTGATCCGGTAGTAGCCACTTGTGGTGCTCTTCCGGCCATACACTGCAGAGCAATCTGGGCAGAACAGTAGCAGTTTGTTAAATGGGCTGGGGGCAAAGCCAAGGGCTATGTGCCACCAAGAGAAGATGTCACCGAGAGGCTGTTTGGGACAAGGACACTTGGCCAGCCTGTGCATAGCTCTGCAAGCCCTGTAAAGTCAAAGGAAATGGTGCAGCAATGAAGTAGCTACACCAGTTTGCAAATGCCAGCCTGACTAATAGCTTTAAGGCTTGAGAGCCATGCCCTCTGAGGGAATAATGCCCAAATCCTTGGTGAGATGCAGGACAGCTGCAGCTTAGCCTGGGGCTATATCGTGAAAGCCTGGGACTGAAACTTTATCTGTCAGAAAGATCATTTGCAGGGAAGGTAACTTCCATGTGGAAGGTAAGGTACCCTCAGCTGTACTTCTGATAAGATCAGGGAACAATATTTCTAAAATAATAGGCTAAGCTCCTGTGTCCAGCTCTACCAGGGCTGTATCAGGAGAGAGCCTTTCAGGATCTCAATGCTTCACTCTTTCAATGTAATGCCCAAAGGCTAAAATCTTGGCCACAGGAAACAATTTATGTTTATGACCATGTTCTCAAAGTAACACCAAGAAACAAAGCATGCATGCCTGTTCCTGTGCACAGAAGTAATGAGGGAGCTGAGGAATAGGGAAGCTTGGCTCATCCAAACAGGTCTCAGTGCCTGCAGCTGAGCCAGGCACTCTGGGCTCCCCGAAGTCACCCAGGGAATATGGGTTCTTTAAGAGCAGAACCCATCTCTTCCTAAAGCAGTTGCCTAAAGTAAATCTGATGGAAATCATGAGAGATGACTGTTCCTCTCTGCAGGCAAGAAGCCCAGCTGAAGATGTCCATTTTGTACCTGGGTAATAGCTACCTACATCTGGGATAAGTGACTCCAGCCCCAAGGGATATCTTTAGTGTCAGGACAACCAGTAAGCTCTTCTTCCCATGTATCTGTATTTTAAATCACAATCCACTTAAAAAATTTTAAACTTTTAGCAGACATAAAATATGACACATGGGACACTGCAGGAAGAAATAAACATTGTGGCACACTACTGCAAACTGTACCTTGGTCATACACTATCAAATTTCCACTGGTTGTGGGTAAAAGTGTCTCATGCTGCACGCTCCTGTTGCCTGAGAACAGTTCACTTTTCGTTCTGTGGTAAGTGTTCTCCAGTATGTCCTTCAGCTGCAATTCATATAAGTAAAGCAAGTCTTGAAGATGTTTTAACCTTTGTCTTAATTTACTGTTGTCTAGGAGGCAGATATCTTTGTCCTATGGAGAAAATAAAACAAAACCCCCCACACTTCAGTCAGTGGTAAGGAGAGACACAGAGAAAGGAGTATCTTGACCCTAGTATTTCACACTGCCTATGTGGATCAACATGATTTCATGGTGATCTCTTCCTAACATGTCCAAATCTTGCACAGCATGAGCTGTTTCATTGAAACCAGTAGAAAAGGGGTTTCTGCAACAACCTTGGCATTGATCAGAGCATGACAGAATGTGGTCAGATGCACAAAAAATTTACTTTGGATGAAAATAATTTGTCTTGACCCCACTTGATGAGCTCAAGAGGAAGGTTTTCAAACTATGAAAGTGCTCAGGTTGATAAGAGAGGGAAAACTTGGCACTTGCACTGCAGATGGGCGAAACCAGCAAGGTTCCAGAATTAGCTTTGTGTAAAACTGAAAAAGAGCTGATATTTTGGCTATAAAAATACATTTTTTAAAAAGATACTTTAGTTGTTGTTTTTGTTGTTGTTTTGAATTCTTAGTAGTGTCAGTTCAGTCTCCCAGACAGTTGTACAGCCCTTAATGCTGTGAAAATCCTGTATTATCAGGACAACATTCCTTTAGCTGCAAGCAGATGCCTTTTTGCTCTGCTCTTGCAGCTCCCCATCCCTCCTGCGGGGGAATATCCATCTCTGCATGACTGGGAATAGTGAACCATTGAGAGAGTGTACAGGCATGGCTAAAAGATACACACCGAGAACCTGGGTGCAGGTGAGCCAAAGCTGACCAGGAGAAGGAGCAGCAGCAACAAGTGCATCATCACACTCATTTCTTATCACCTGAAAAGAGGCATTGACAAGCTGTAATGGAAGCTTTTTTAGTTGCTCTCAGAACTTAATCCCCCCTCACACTTATGTTTTATTCCCCAGGAGATGCTGGAGGATTTGTTAAGGAGGTTGCTTGAAACTACAGGCAGTACAAAATCAAGGTAAGATGTATATTAAGGAGAAGCTAAAGCACCAGTGCAGTATGCTGACAGGGATAAAGGCTCAGGTCTGCTCCTGATTCCCCACAGAAATAAATACTCTGTGTGACTTTCCAGCAGCCTCTGTATCTCCTCCCAGGAATCCACACAGGAAGTTGCTCAGCAATCATGTCTCCGTGAGGACTTTTCATCAAAATCCCACAGAGTTTATTCAGTTCAAACTTCTCAAAGTGGAGTTAAGAGGAATTTGCCTCCTGGTTAATTGACTGTAGACATTCCCCCTCCTCATCCCTGGAGTGGTCTGTGAGGATGGGATTACCTTGGAGGCCAAGTCACACATGTGACAAACTGGACATAAGAAAATTTTTCCTTGGATTTCAGGGGAAAAGATGTCTACTGCCAATCTGCTCCAACACACAGATGTGGTTTTGATTGGAGAGTCTTAGCTAGAAAATATGCTAAGTGATTGCCACTGGGAACATGCAGCTGAATGTGAGTGAACAGTACAAATGGTTCTCAGTGTGCTTGCATCGTGCTTTAAAAAAAAACCCAACAGAATCAGAAATAAAATAAAAAAACCTGAAAACTAGGCTAAACCCAACTCCCCTGCTTCACATCTGGAAGTGCTTCAGAAACTTGGCTCCCCAGCTCTGTACTTTGAGCGATGTGCTTTGTTTCAGCTATGGCTCTATCAGCATCCCTGCAGCAGCTGATTCTAGAGCTGCTTCCAAACCACCAAAGCTGCTGCAACAGAGGAGCCCCGGGCCAGGATGGGCAAGCAGGGCTCAAAGCAAGCTGAGGGAAGAAGATCTCTACAGAAGTTGCCCATAAAAGATGACATGCAGGTAGATGCCCCAGGCTGTGGCAATTTTTCAGCTCACAGAGAGAAGAGTTCAACATTGCAGCAGGGGAGCCCTGCGAGCCCAGGAGCACTGGTGCTGTTCACACCACCCCACTGTGGTGCCAGTGGCTGCAGCACTGGTGCTCAGGTCAGGTTTAGACCCCACACAGTGCCCATGGGTGATGGCAAAAAGCTACCAGGAAGGGTGGGATGAGTGACAGCTCCTGGAAACCAGACAGTGCAGAGCAGAGAGAAAGAAAGCAACTCCATCTACACCTTTACCAAGACACATGAAATGCACATACCTGTAACTTGCCTTTCTTCAGACCTCCTCCCGGAAAGATTATCTCCGTTAAAAGTCAACTGCAAAAGAAAGTGATCATAAACCTGGCTGCATTTCAAGATGAGATTGATGAGATTTTCCTCTCCAGATGACCTACATCAGGGGCACAGAGGAAAAATGTTTCACAGCACTAGGCAGTTTGACAGAAAAGGTACGCCCAATTCCTAGTGTGAAAGACTTACCCAAATCCCAAGTTTTCTCTTGTTACCCAGTATTCATCTTGCTGCTTCCCAGTGAGAATAAACAACTGGAGGTTTCTATCAAGAGTGTTCTCTAAAGGAGAGGGGCTCTGCTGCTTGTGTACTATTACCTACCTTGACTAGGAAGTTCAACCAAGACTGACTTCTTTGAGTGTTTATGTGAATCACGCAGACTAATGCTCCCTGTGGGAGTTTCAGCTCATGTTTTAACCCAGCCAGGATCATTTCAGTAAGTCCTGCAAGGTGGAAATAACACAGTTTTTCCATTCAGCATTCCTTTTGCTGTTTAATCTGTTTTATAAGAGCACAGCTGTAATGCCAAAGAAGCTGCAAATCTGAAGCAAGAAGCAAATGTGGGAGTATTAAGCAAGACTTGCTGTTAAGAGTGAAATCTCAGGAGGGTTGTGTAACTCTCCTGTGAGCTGGATGATTAGATTTGCTAGTTAACACAAACAAGGACATTTGTGGAAAAGAGAAAAAAACCCACAAAACCAAACAGATGGGTGCCTCCCTTTGTATTATGGCCAAGGAATTACAGATTATTTTAAAGAAAACAACAGGAATGTTCCATTTTACCGAGGTTTGTGCAGAGGAGAGACCATGGGCACAAAAGACAAGGCAAATAAACCCATGGTAAATGTCTGTGCTGCTCTTCAGGAAAGCAGGACTATCTAGCTACTACCAGCTACAGGAATGCTGTTTGTTCCTTTAAAACTGCATTCCTCTTCTCCCACAAGAATCCTGATTCATTCCACTGCCAAAGGATTATGTAAGCAATGCTTTTCTTCTCACTTGTTTTCTAGCCCCAGTTTAAGACTGGTTTTGACAGCTATGAAATTAAGTGAGTGAAATGTTTCCTCCCTAGTGGGTACTTGGCCCTTTTTTCTGCCCCTTTGTCCAGGACCTGCAGCTGGCAGCAGGGTGTGCAGGTACCATGCATTGGAGCACAGGGAGGCTGCACATCATCCCTTGGGCTTTCACCAGCAGCAGCAACTCTTTCTCAGCTGGACCCATCCAACAGTGCTCAAAATTCTGTGCAAAAATTTATGCTCCTGTCTAAAAGGTGGCCAAAAATCTCATTGGCCTGTAAACATCTCCTGATCCCAGGCGGGATCAGAGACAGGGCCGAGGCTGTGGTGTCCGTGTTGGAGCCGTGGTGTGGCTGGCACAGTCAGTGTCTGCAGCTGTGTGCAGGGCCATATGAGTAGGGAGCATCAGGCCTCATAGCATTAAGTTCTGCTGGTCCCAGGGCAGAAGGGAACAGTGAAACTGCAGAGCCAGTGAAACTCACGTGTGCTCTGTCACTGCAGCTTTGCAGGAACAGGAATCAATCTCCAACCCTCGTTCAGTGGCTGCCAAAACATCTCTCAGAGCCAAGACATCTGGAGCACTCTTACAATGCCTCTAGGCCTCCACCAATGCTCGCCTCAGCAACATCTGCATGTAAAAATCCCACTCAACTGGAACATGGTTCTTGCATACCTGTTTCATGATTAACTTATTTTCCCAGGCTAGAGAAAGCTTTAGGAATATCTGAAACACAAGAGAGGGGTGGCCATGAGGTTGAGTTCACATGAGGAGGGTCTAGCAGGAGAGCGTTTTCAAGTACTGCTCCACTGGCTCAGAGCTAAAATAATCAAGTCATCATAAAGAATGGACACTGTGTGATCACCAATGTTTCCACACAGATGTTGAAATCCCTAGGCAATGTGACAACAAGTGCTGGGTTGGTTTTTTTTTCCTGGAATACACATGCTTCACAAATATTCTGGAATGCAAATTCCTGTTTAGTTACTTGGAAGGAGATCAGATTCCCTTTTCTTAAGATACTCAATGATCTTGTCAGCAAAAAATAACAGTCTTATTAACTAAAAATCCTCCTACCCTGCTGTCCTCTACCTTCCTTACAGCAAAAGTATTTAGGTGCTGAAAAAACTATTATTCACACATTAAATGCAATACCAGCACACATAAACTGGTCGATAAAGGTGACTGAAGAGCATGGCTCTGGGGTAGCTCTTGATATTCCTACAGTTATGGGGGGAAAATGGCTTGGAATGAACACAGGAACACCTGATGGATATTAACACCTTCAGAGCCTTAAGGAACATCACTGCAGCTGGAAGACAGTAGTGGCATCTCAAAACTCTCCCAAGACCAGTTTCTTGTGGGTTGCTTCTTCTTAAAGAGGAAAGACAAGAAATGAGGCAGACTGCTCCAGGCTCCAAAAGAGATAGAGAGACCTAAGGATTTCACAGCAAGAGTCTGATTGCCTACCTGTGTTCTAGGAAAATACAGGGTAGTCTGGACCCAGCTCAAAGACAAACAGATTACTTGCAGAGAATCCAAGTGCTCTATGAATTTGCATTATTTTTATACTTTCCTATCGCATCCCACCCTCCATGAACACCCTGCTCACTGGGGGAGACTGCAGACCAGGCTCATTTGCAGGCACTGCAGGTGTGGAGGTACCTACCAGGGGCCCTTGATGTTTGAGCTATATCCTCTGCAGGAATCTGGGCTGCCAGGTTTTTTAAAACAAAGTTAATATATGAGATCTGAAACAAATATTTATTGTTTTTTAATCTAACAATAAAGGGTTTCATCAAAAGTAAGATAAAATTAAAAGACCAGGATGACATCAGCCACCATAGTTTCAACCTGTGAAATAACTGAAACCGGCATTTGCGCATGAAAAGTCTGTGGTTGGTAAGCCAGGAGTAACCACAGAAATCTGTGTACAAAGCAGCAGCAGTGGTAGCAGACCATGAAACATGCTAGATCTGAATATTTTGATAACGTTCAAAGAGCAAATACATAATTCAGTTTAACTAATGAGTCTGCATGCAGCCTATGAGTATCTAATGGGTTGACACAACAAATGTAATTATTTTGTAAGTTCCTGAGGGCAAGCACAGGTCTCAGCAATCCCATGTCAGGAATAGCTGTACCAAAGGGAATTAATCACAAGACTAGAGGGAGTATGTGGATTCCATGATCTTCTACCTACTTCAGGTCAGAGAACTTTCCTGACCTAATTCACTCCCATTTGAACTGGAACATCCCTTTGAGAAAAACACATTTTGCTGTGAAATATTTAGTGCAGAAGAACCAGCCACAAACCTTAGCATGTTCTCCCATTCTCCCACTTTTTAATTACTTGCATTGCCCAAAAAAAAAATTTTTTTTTTTTTTTTTTTTTTTTTTTTTTGCCCTGAGTCTGAATGTCTGAATCTTCCAAGTCTCATCCTGCAGCCTTTTAATTCCATGATGCCTTACTCTGAGAAGGTGAAGCCCTCTACTGCCAAATGCCTTTTTCCTTGCTAAAGGCTGGATCCAATCACAGAAGCTGTGTGCTTGCTCCTGGCTGGGAATCCAAACCTCCATTATCTGCTTTGGCTGAGGGTGTGTGTGCAGGAAACCCAGCAGGGGTCATGGAGTGAGGGGCTGCTTGGAGCTTTTCCTAGGCAGGGCTGAGGAACACGGCACAAGGACATCACACTTGTGAGCAGGGCACATGGCTGGCATGGAAGAGGAAAGGCAGGAAAAAGTTCTGCTCCTGGAGAGATTTCATTCAGGGCAGTTTAATGTAGAACAAGTACATAGAGGTGAGAAGAGCTGTGGGTGGTGTATGACAAGGTGTGGTGGAAGTGGTCTCACTGGGCATGTTGAGGGGGCTCCAGGAACTGCAATCTCTGCCGAGATTTGGGAGACTGATCTGCTCTAGGCAGGGATAAGCAGCAGAGATATGTGGTCAGGACAGGAGCAGAACTGCACGTTCTGGAGGGATCTCTGCAGCACAAGAGAGAAGTGCCACATCAATTTAACTGCCTCAAAGGTTAGCAATTGCTGAACAAATACCTTTGTAGTTGTAAATGTTGATGGTGTGAGTCTGCTTACACCCCTTCTGAGGCACCTTGTCCTTTTCCAGATCCATCCCTGTCTGACTGTGATTAAGTCACTCACATGAAGAGCCATATAAAGAGCTCAGGCAATATTTCAAAATCTTTCCTGTTTGTGGATCCAAGGATCTCACTCCTCTTGTCACAGAGCTACATGCCACAATCATTTGTCACTGGCTAATGCCTGCTGTTGCTCCAGGACCTTTCAGTGTTACCTGATTTCCTCTGTCACTAATGCTCCAAGTCTGACCTGCATGGTTACCCAGTGCAGTCAGGATGACTGTGATTCACAACATCTGAGAAGTCAGTCCAGAAATGCCTGCCAGCTTTCTGACATGTGCACACACAGGCCATGCAGGTGGCAGGCGCCTTGCTGGGAGTTAGAGGGACTGTAAACAGACCTAGAATGTTTTTAACACATGTTGATGGTCCTTCAGGTACCGAGGGTACCAAACATCATCCTGAGGTCTGGTGTTCTGAGATTGACATGTGCTCTGGATGTAAGTCACAATTTACTCAGTGCCAGGCAGTCGTTCCTATTCTATCTGACCACAGTTACAACCTCTGTGTTAGCTGCAAACTTCATCACTCAGGATCTTATCCACGCCATGGTTTAAAACAAAACAACGTAACATTAAACAGTGCAAGACAACACCCAATCCCTGCAGAATCTCTCAGGAAAATAATTGCTTAAGGATGGTTTATCTTTTAGTTATTTTAAGACTAGCATGCTGCACTTACATCAATGTGAAATGGGTTGATTGAACCTTTTTATTCAAAGTTATTTTCTGGCCAGTCAGTTGCTTACAGAAACAACAAAATACTTTTATTTTAGCAGTAAAACTTGCAATCTTGTTTTAGAAATATATTTTCTAAATATATTTTCTAAATAATTGTGTCTAAAATGACACAATTATTTTCCCTAATTGCATGTTGATTTACAATTATTATTAATATTATTATTATTGCTTCTACTATTAAGCTTCTTTAATATCTTATTAGTCTAAACCCTCTGCCTAATCTGCTCTCACTTCTCAGGGAGCAGAGCCAAGATGAAAAGCTATCACCATCAGGTCATTTGGTCTACCTGTTTTTAATATTGGCAGAGAATTCATTTTTTACCCACTTATCTTCATACTTCTGCTATCTCAAGACTTAATAAAAATGTAATTAGTTTTCTTGTCTGTCTTAAAATAATCAGATATAGAAAAGCAATGCCTTACCAATTTAAAAACCTGTCAAGGTAACAGATTCTGTTTACCACCTTCTCTGTTATTTTTGGAATGCAAAGTATGTCTTCACCCCTCTGAGAAATGCGTACTTAATCGTGCTCTTTAGCCAGTATGTAACTGGATTATTTACTAAATATTTAAATATTTTTTGCATTTTTGACAATTCAGCTATTTTACACTGATGAAAAATTGTCAGAGGATCAGAACTGGATTCTCAAGGCTCATTAAATATCAGTATCATGACTTAACCAGCAAAATATAATGAAAAATATTTACAAGTCTTGAACTTAAAAAACATAACACTTTCAATGCTTCCTTTTTATTTTGGTTTTATGGATGTTGGATCTTGTTCCTATGCTTTTCTCTACCAGCTGAGAGATAGAAATTTAATTCTATTAGTAAAAAGGTGGTGTTTTTATTTTAGTCACCCGAGTCCAGAAGTTAGGGTCTTAAGAAAATAGATCAACCACCAGGATACTCAGGAAACACATGAAACTCAGTATCACTGGCAATGCAGCATCTATCTATATGATGAAAACTGGGAAGAGTTGTTCTTCCTTTTAAAGTGCATCTTCAGCTGGCCAGCCCTGGAATTCAGCCTGGGTGCCAAACTGGAAGCCTCCCACCTCCAGCCCCTCCTTTGGTTTTTACAGGTTGTCTGGTGAGAAGTCCACTTCAATACCTAAACTGCCTTCACACCTTGGTGCTTCCAGAGCCCAGGACAGGGGTAACTGGACTTTTGTATTTCTACACTGTTCTCTGACGTGGGCCTCCCCCCACCACTTCCACCATGAAGGTGCTCCACAGGTGTAAACTCCTGCTGAGAGTAACTCACCCCATTATCCCCACCCAGTCCACGGGATCAAGCCTGTCCTAAGTAACCTGCACTGCAAGTGCATGAGAGAAACACAGTCCCCCATCATAGCATAACCAGAGATGTTTATTAAAAGTGTACATAACTTTTATAATATTTTCACCACTGAGTTAGAATAGCATGAGCCTGGACAGCCAATAGTATAATTATTAATAAGCTTGATAACCAGTAATATTCATGATCAACTCCCTAATAGCAACATCAGACTTTTCTCTCAAAGATAATCGCTTATATAAGAGTTCTTCCTACAAACTACTGTGCACCTGCTACTTGTTACATTTTAAAAATCTTTGTTACATCTTTCCTGCCTTGACTGAATAGTCTCTTTCTAACTAAATGCTCTTTGTTCTCTCAATTACAAGTTCCCTTTGTTTTATTTCCCTACACTGCACATGTAATTTTTTTTTTATGACTAAGAGAAAATTAGTCGAATGTTTCTTCTCATCATCAAACTTAGTTTCCGTCCTTGTTTAGCTGCTTCCAAATACATAATTATCTGAATAAACCAAACATACTTAGCACCAACCTCATGAAGTTTAACGAAGACAAGTTTTCAGAGTCTATACAGGGGCTGGGTCCTGGTGGATGGCAAGCAGAATCTCAGTCAGCAGTGCCCTGGCAGCCCTGTCCTGGGGTGCATCAGGCACAGCATCACCAGCTGGGCAAGGGAGGGGATTGTTCCACTCTGCTCTGCACTGGGGCAGCCTCACCTCGAGTGCTGGGGGCAGTTCTGGGTGCTACAACATAAACAAGACATTAAGAGGTTAGAGTGTTCAAAGGAGGGCAATGAGGATGGTGAAGGGCCTTGCGGGGAACCTGCATGAGGAGTGGCTGAGGTCACTTGGTCTGTTCAGCCTGGAGGAGACTGAGGGGAGACCACAATGCTGTCTACAGGTTCCTCATGAGGGGAACCTCATGGGAGGGGCAGGCACTGATCTCTTCTCTGTCATGCCCAGTGACTGGATCTGAAGGAATGATCTGAAGGTGTCTGAGAAAGTCTAGGCTGGATATTGGAAAATGGTTTTTCACCCAGCGGGTGGTTGGGCACTGGACACGCTCCCCAGGGAAGTGGTCACAGCACTACACCTGACAGAGCTCAAGAAATGTGTGGACAACACTCTCAGGATTCTTGAAGTGTCAGGAGTAAGACAGCAGTTGTACTTTGATGATCCTTGTGGATCCCTCCAACTCCACATATTTTATGATTCTATGTTTCTGTTACTTGCTACCACTGTCTGTATTTATGTATTTATACGTATTTGAAGGGAAAACTTTCTCTTTAGTCTAGTGCTCAGAAATGTTCCCTATTCCCAGCATTCACCTCAAGGATTGTATTTCTTTTGGGCAGGGAGCATCCGGACAGGGCCATCAGGTACCGCATCTCCCCTGCCCATCCCGAGCAGCCGCTAAGAGCTCGCTGTGGGCTCCCTCTGGTGTCGGCCGTCCTGCAGAAAGCCTCCCCAGCGCAACCCTGCCCTCAGCAGCTACAGCAGCACTGCTGTACCCAGGGATGCCCAGGGACTGCTCCTCACTTGCTTGTTGGCAACGAGGTAGGCGTGAAGCCTCTGCAGAGCACAGAGTAACCCATCACGTTCTGGAGGCTCCGATTCTGTGAAAACCTAAGTGCTCGATGCCGTGTGAAATCCAATTGCTCATTGCGATGCTCTGCCCTGGATGATGGCAAGAGCTGCCCCAGGCTGTGGGGGACTGGCTGGCCTGCAGCCCCTGCCCGACCTGCACTGGCCCTGCCTCGAGTGCAGCCCCTCAAAGCTGTCATGCCATGGGAAAGGCATTGAGAGGCATCAAACCACAGCAGCAGAAAAGATTACAAAACTGCGAGGCTGGGACTCGCAGATGGTGGGGCTGGCTGTGGTCTGGTGGGCTGGGGGCAGTGTGGCCCCACAAAGAGCTACAGAATCAATTAGAAAATACATGGAAAGTCTTGGAAAAGACTTCAGCAATCACCGAGACCAACCTATGTCTGAACACCCCCATGTCAATTAGACAATGGCACTAAGGTGCCATGTCCAGTCTTTCCTTTAACACCTCCAGGGATGGTGAACCCGCCAACTCCCTGGGTAGTCTGTTCCAATGCCTAATTACTCCTTCTGTGAAGAGTTTCTTCCTAATGTCCAACATAAACCTCCGAGCTCCAGACTATATCTTCTTGTCCTGTCCCTATTTACCTGGGAGATGACACTGAACTCCACCTGTCTCCACCCTCCTTTCAGGCAGCCATAGAGAGCGATGTCTCCCCTGAGCTCCTCCTCTTCAGGCTAAATAACCCCAGGTGCACTCAGCTGCACCTTGTAGGACTTGTGCTCCAGACCCATCACCACCTCTGTTGCCTTCTCCGAACACACTCCAGCACCTCAGGGCTGGATTTAGAGGCCCAGAATTGGACACATTACTGGATGTGTGGCCTCACTAGTGCTGAACTCACTGCCCTGGTCCTGCTTGCCCCGCTATTGCTGGTGGCCTTCGTGGCCACCTGGGCCACAGCCTCCCGGCTCACATTCAGCCGCTATGGACCAGCACCCCCAGGTCCTTTTCTGCCCGGCAGCTTTCCAGCCCCTCTGCCCCCAGCCTGCAGCGCTGCCTGGGGTGGTTGTGACCCAAGTGCAGCACCTGGAATTTGGCCGTGTTGAACCTCATGCTGTTGGGTCTCAGCCCATCGTTCCAGCCTGTCCGGATCCCTCTGCAGGGCCTTCCTACCCTGCAGAAGATCGACGCTCCGACCCAAGCCGGTATGGCCCACGAACGCCCTACGGGGGGCTGGGGAGCCCCGCCGCCCGCCCGCGGCCTGTGCGGGCCGTGCGGGGGCGGCGCGGGGCGGGGGGCCGTTATCATGGCTGCGGGCGGGTCCGCCCAGCCCAGCCCGGACCGGGCCGGCCCGGCCCAGCTGCAGCCGGGCAGCGCCGCCGAGCCCCTCATCCGCAGCCCGGGGGCGGTGAGGCGTGTTCGAACTCCGCGCCTCAGCTCGGTGGGTGAGAGGAGCTGGCGGCGTGGCGCGGCCCGGAGGCGGGAGGGAGGGCCGGGATACAGCTCTCAGGAAGTTTAACCCAACTTTCCGCTGAGTCCGCGGGGCGCCGGGGGCGGTGTCCCGGCTCGACTTTGAGCCCGGCGGCCGCGCCGAGGTGAGGTAGGGGAGAGGGCTCCGGGGGGGCTGCGCTGGCGGGATGCAGCGGGAGCAGCTGCGGGCCTGCCGGGCGGGGAGCTGGTGTGTGCCGGGAGGCGGCTCCCGGACCCGCTCCCTGCGGCTCAGTCCGCGCCCGCCGCTTCCCCGGAGGTGCCAGCTGGGGCTCCTCTGTGTTTCAGAGCTTGAAGCAGGGCGAAATGCTTCATGGTGAGGTAAAGATGCTGTTATCACTGTGGTATGTTTGGTGTAGTCAAAACCCCTTCATCAGAGTGCCTTGACGTTCATCAGTGTTGCAGCTGAAAGATTGAGCTTTATCAGCCACAGGGGGGAAATAGTTGAAAATGAAGCGGAAGCCTGGCTGCTGGGATTGTGAGGGTGAGGCTACTATAGGATGCTGCTATTCACTGTTTCTTGTACTGTCTCACTTTAACTCGGTGTGCTTCTCTTCAGGTCAGCAGGACAACAACAACGGGCAAAATGACAGCTGTGAGGTATGAACAAGGGACCCAGTCAAGAGAATCATCTAGGTGAGTGAAATGAACTGTGCCAGTGAGGAGGTTTAGGATTGAATATGTGAGGTGTGGTCCCCTGTCTTTAGGTTCTTAGTGCTTAAAATATAACAAAGGGAATAATGATGGAGTGTCTGAAGTTTATATAGCATAGTCTTTTTATCTCCCCTCTGCCACCAGTGCTCTTGTCTGAGAGGATGGGGTATCTTTGAGAGAAATATGCTGTTTTGATTAACTTCTTGTAAGTAGTTAGTAAGTGATTAATGAGTACAAGGTCTCTATCCCTGATATAATAAGCCCATGGCATTTAAGTGTGCTCTCTTTTAGCATCCAGACTGTCAAGAGACTTGCAAGAGAGTGTCAAGGTCTCTTGTAGAGCAAGACTTTCTGTGCTTGCTTTAAAAGCCTCAAGTCTGAGGTTGCCTTTAGCTATGAGCAGTTAGAAAAGCTAATGCTCTGCATGGAGTGTGTGCATGAAGGAAACCATTTCTTCTGATATGTCCTCCTTTTATTTTCTTCTACCCCCATAGTCAAGGCCTATTTGTAATAGCTTGTGGCTGAACACTTGTTCTGTCTTGGGCAACAAGTAGATGTAGAACGATCAGCAAAACAAACTCCCTCTGAGGAAAGCATTATCTAGAACTGAATTTTTGTGTGGGAGCATTATGGAAACAGTGTACTTGGGCTTCTGTTTTATCCTTGTATTAAGGATTGTCTTCCTAACTGAAAACACTTTTGTTTCTCATTCTTCTTGTGGCATATTTTAATCACAGTAGAGGATAAGAAGGTTGCATTTGGTGTACTTGTGACCTGCAGCAAAATTGCTGCAGCAGTAGCAGGCTTTAATAAGTGAAGCATTTCTGCTGTTAAGTAAGTGTAAACACCCAAGTAAATATTCTGTAAGAATAGCTGGGAAGCAAACCTGAATGCCTATACATCACTAAAGCTTTGCTTCAGCTCTAGGAACAAAATGAGGATGGTGGTTTCACTGGAAACACTGGAGCTAGGAAATGAGGCTTGAATGCTAAAATTGCTGCATGAGAATAATTCTTCTACTGAGCCTGATACTGAGTGCAGGTGGTGAAGCATCAGTACTGGTTCCTGGAACTAGGAATAATGCTAGGAGAAGCATTGTTAAACTTCTTGCTTAAAAGGTGGTTAGCCCAGACTGCAGAAGCAGCGCTGGTGCATGGGTCTGTTGTGGAGGATGAAGAATATTTGAATCCTTAAAATTATTACACTAATGCTTCAAACATGCTAGGCTGCCTCTGAACAGCATGGAAACATGAAACATCAATATTGAATATGTGTGTATAGCTGTTCCTGCCCACGAAGCTGTGAAACCAGAGGCAGGGCCTCAGCAAACACTGTGGCTGTGCTATTAGGCATCACAGTGTTTCTGTGGAGAAGACTGAAATAAAGACTCCTGGATTTTGATGCTCCACGTTTTGTCTGAAATTGTCATGTGACCTTCAAAAAAACAAAAACTTGATCTGAAGAGACCCTTTTAAGGAAGTTATGGCAAACAGCCACTACCTCAAAAAACTGCTGTTCTAGCACTAGCTCAGCTGCTGCTCTGGTCTTCCAGTTTCCGGTCTGGTATCCTGCTCTACACAAAAACATCTCTATGCTATGGCTTTTCCTGGTGAAAACATTAATTCTCTGTACAAGAAGGTCACTGTAACAGCATTAATGTCGCTTGGACTCTCTGAAGCCATTTTCCATATGCATATTTCTGGCACTTCTGGAGCCTGGACTGTTGAGTCCTTAGCGAACTCGTGGATGCTCTGCTTCAAAGCCCTTTGTCCTACTGCTGAACTCATCTGTCTCTTTTTTGGGGGGGAGGGGGGCGGGGGCAGAAAGGGAAAACTTCTGAGAAATAGGCTGCTAATAGGAAACAGATCAGCACTAACCAAGGGGCTCAGAAGTGCCAACATGGGGGAAGTCTCTCTTCTCCTGGTACTGGGCCTGTGCTCTGGCTCAGGCTGCTGTTCATTTGACAGTTAATTTTTTTTTTTTTGGAACAACAAAGCATAGCAATATATGGAGTTGACACCTCTATTAGTGTATGACTTGTATTATTTCTTTGCCAGCTCTCCAACAGCTGAAGAGGCCACAGTAAAGATTGATAATGGTCGTGATGAGGGTGATGGACCAGACACCTGTTCCAAGTAAGCTAATGATGTACTAAATTTCTTTGCTTATTCCCAGAAGTGGAATCTGATGAGCCAAAATAAGAAGACAGGTGGCTTGAGCCAAAATAAGAAGGCAGGTGGCTTTTTGAAGTAGAGCTAAGCCCAGTAAAATGCTTGATATTGACATTTCTTCTAGTACATAGCGAAGAGAAGTAAGTTGTGGAAGCCTCTTTATCCCTCTAGAGATAAAAGTCCAACCCAAGAACACAAGTCCATCATATTATGGAGAATGAGTAGTCCAAACCACATTGATTAAATTTTCCCAAAGGAATGAGTTTGTGGGAGCACAGAAGAGCAAGTGCTGGTGAGACAATGAGGTGAATGAGTACCTAGGCATAAGAATAAGCATTGTGGCACACATCAAGACAAAGTTGTCTGAACTTGCTAGTAGTTACCTCTTGTCTTGAAGCAGCTGTTTCCTGGCAGTGTTTGCCTCATGTTAGTCTTACAGAAACTTAGTCGAGTCAGTGGCAAGTCCTACAGCTCAAGAACAGTAAGCCTAAGCCTGTTACTTCATTTATTCTATGTGACAATATGTTTTTCTACAAATGTATTTCACAAAAACTCTAAGCTAATTATGTAATCAAATATGCCATGTTTCCTTCAATTCATTTAAGATGTTGGCAGGCCAAATTGGAGTAGTGTGTGTATATATTTTGGTCTGTATGTACCTAGTTAGAGGTACTTGTCCATAGACTGTAGAAGTTGAAGTCTTGGTTTCCCCACTACAATTGTAGGTTTGACTGGACAGACATAGACTAGCAAACCATTAGTGCCACTATTGCAATGTTTCCTTAGATATTTGGCATTCATGAATACCAGGAAAACCTTCTATATGTTTAGCTGCTTCAGGACAAAACATGGTATTACATACTTGAGTTCTGTAGGAATAGTGAGTACTACAACCCATGTGTATACTTACAGCTTAAGAATGCAAATGTTTGCTGGTTAGACTTTGTACCTTTAGTTTAGAATGAGAACCTAATAATGAAAAATGTGGGTTAATTCAGTAACCCCAGCAAGATGCTGCCTCAGCACTTCAAAGGCACCTAACCTTGTCTTAAACTGGGTTATTGAAGTGCACCAAGTGAAATGCAATGCTTAAGTTGTCCTAGAGGAAACAGGTATTTTGGACAGGATCATTGGGGTACAGTGTGCATTACTGAGCTGACAAAAACTTCTTGTAACAGTGCAAAATAAATCTCTCAGTACTTTTTGTCAGTATATTCGGACTAATGGTAAGTCCTGCTGTTAGTGGTATGCTTGAAAAAGGTGTTTTCTTCTCAGTGTCTAAGGAAAGACTTGATGCTTACAGGTAGTTAAGTAATCTTGGGATTGCTTAACAGACTGGCGTCTGTTTTTCAAACTATCAGCACTTGAGTTTTGCAGGTTCTACACCAAGAACTTCTACCTTAGTTCTTGGTGTAATCTAAAAAGGCTTCCAGCCAGAAAGAGAGTTACATAAAAGCTTTGTTCTAAACCAAAGGGCTTAAAGCATACCAAAGAGGGAACAAAATCTACTGTAACTGGAAACAAGAGATGTGACCTTGCCAGGACTGAAGATAATTCTCACAACTGGAAGAACTTGGCTTCAGAAACACTTTTTCTTAAAAGATTATTTGGATTTTCAATCTGAAAGCCAAACTGATGTTTGTTTTTTAAAGTAGAAATAGAGGATTTCTATTCCTCTATTCCAAAGGCATGGGAGCTGTTAATAGGTGCAGCTCTTTTCAGGCCTGGGGGAAAAAAAAATGGTCTGATACAATAAGCTAATATATGGAATGAAATATATTAAGAGATGTTTGTCTTCCAGTCTTCCTCTTGACCAATATAAACCCACTTCTTATAGCTTACTAAGCCAGAGTTCAAGTGTCACTGAATTGTGACATGGAATAATGTTACAGATAAGTATATACTGCTGTATTTCTAGGGTCTGGAAGCTGATTAATACTTTCTCTAACGGGTGATCAAAGCACTGTTTTCAAGCACTCTCTTAACCTATATACTTCATGAATGCAACTGAGTAATCTCATTTTAGAAAAGTCACTGCTATGCAAAATACTAAAACTTAAGGAATGTGGACAAAAGAATGTAACAGTGCCCTTGTGGCTGGTATCTGTAGAAGAATGTCACTTGTCTTGACGTCATTTCTCTTCTCTTGCAGTGCAACTAGGAGAAAAATTGCCCCATTTGTGATGTCATTTGGATTCAGGTAAAAGCTTGAACTTGTAATGATGTGGGAAAGGTAAAAATAGTCCTCATTTCTGGTGTAAGAACTTAAGAACTCCAGAAACATCAGTAACTCCAGCTTGCTTTGTGTAAAAGTATTGAATCACCCCCAGGAAAGATAACTTGAGAAAAATACTAGAATTGAAAAATAAGATTTAAACAGATATGACTACATTCTTCAAGAAGAGCTGAAAGTGAGAACTGTAAATGTCTTTGTCTTGGATAAAACCTCTTTAATGGCTGGCAACCTTTGAACAAACAGTTGGTCAGTTGTGTGTAGTCTAGGTGCTGGAACAAGGCAAGCCATTAAAGACAGTTATTTTTAAGGGACTGTATTACGTCCCTTAAACTTAGAGGGAGGGAAGCTGAGTAAGGTGAAAGCAGAAATGATACTTGTATGCCTTAAAGCATTCAGGTTTGCACTGCTTCTAGGTAACTGTGAAATAATAAATTAATAACTACAGCTGTGTCTGAGATAAATGTATGGTTCCACATAGATGATGGTATTTGTGCACAGCACTTAAAAATGCTGTTGGAAACCTTCAGCTTCTAATTAAGCAGACTTCAGTCTATGAAAGAGAGCACACTCTTGCTGGAACAGCTTAGAAATCAGGATTTGTGCTGTTCAGTTGATAAGTGTTCATTCCTACCTCTCAAACTTCCTTGTATTTTTCTCTTTGCAGAGTATTTGGAGTTGTACTTATCTTTGTGGACATTATAGTTGTGATTCTGGATCTGGCTATGAGTGAGAGAAAGAAGGGCACAGAGATTCCTGAAGGTGTTTCCCTGGCAATAGCACTCTTCTTTCTCATTGATGTTCTCCTGAGGGTATTTGTTGAAGGGTAAGACATAGGCAAAAATTAAGTCCATGTGGCAAGTCCTCAAGCTAGGAAGGAAGCGAAACTTCAAGCTTGAGCTATGAACATGGTGTCCTGTAAGCTAATTGTCTGGTGATAGATAATAGCCACATCTTTTCTTGGCTCTGTGTGTTGGTGGTGTTACCCTTCTATAGAACAACCTTTAAGTATTTTCAGTATAAGTGAGCACTTGGAAGCTACATCAACTTTGCCATAACTTGTGTGTAAATCAGGGCTAAGACTGCTTTCTCAGTGAGACTTCAGTGCTTAGTGTTAAGAAAAACTGTGGGAGAGCATGTCTCCAGCAGTAGCTCTGTATAGTTTGTTCTCTTGAAGATATAGTTCAGTCTTTGCTACTTGTATTGGCATCTGTCTAAAACTCTCCTTGGTTTCAGCTTCAGGAACTATTTCCAGTCCAAACTGAATATTTTGGATGCATGTATAGTGGTGGGCACCCTGTTAATTAATTTGACGTACTGCTTCTTAGATGTTGGTGCAGCCCAGGAGATACCAAGGTAAGAGTGGTATGGAAGCTGGTAAGTGTGAGCTCTTTGCTTGATAATCTTCTAAGAATTTTCTTGGGCACCTCTAAGCCAGATTTGTGCATATGAGATCACAGATGGGGCTGTGATAATGTGTCCTGGTACAGATTATTGAAGGATAAACACACAGCTTTGATCTGTGGTTATGCTGTAGGCTGTCCCTGCCTCAAAGGCAGAGGGGATGTGAACATACTAGTGGAGGTAACTAAAAGTGGGGCCATCAAATGCTCTGACTCAAGCACTTTTTGGGGAAAGGTGTGCAGTAGCCCTAATAGAGAGGAGGGTCTGAAGAAGGCAGAAAGAAGAGTTGCATTATCGTAGCAAATGGAAGAGACAACAAAGGGAGGATCTCTGTCTAAAGGATCTTGCGATAGAAAGAGTTGCCAGACTGTCTTGTTTCCTTTGCTTTGCTTTCCCAAAACCTTCATGGTAATATAATGCTGGATTTTTCAGCCATGCTCTGGGGAGACATATTGTTTATGTGCATAAGCTGCTTCAAGTCATATTTCCTTCTGATTTCTGTATCCTGATTGGATGATAACCTGTGAGATGAATTCATTCCTGATGGAGACCAAACTACAGCTTTGAGTATATCTGCACTAGGTTTGACTTAGAGAAACTTTCTTGCATCAGCCAGGGAAAAGTTGAGCTCTTAAAAAAAAAAAAAAAGTCACTCCCTGCCCCAAATCCTGCTGACTAATGGGCATAAGAGGGGAACATTATTCCAGAAGAAAACAAAGTTTAGTTATTGAAGAATCCAGAGTTGGACAAATATCTGTAAGTACTAGTTTTCTCTTAAAGTGCTTGCTAAACTTGGGTATCAAGAAGTAAAACTGTCAAATGAATAGCTTTTGCTACCTAGTTTCCTCCTAGGTTGTCTTAAACATTCTTCAGAGTTTTTAATTATTACTTCCCATTTCTATGGCCACATTTTTCTAAAACAGCTTTCATCTTATAGCAGCACCTAGATAAAGGAGGGGAAAAGAGCAGTGTGACAGGGTTATCTGCACTCTTATCTCTACTAGGCTATGCTAGTAGTAAGCCTGATCCTACACTGACCCATCTGGCTGTAGATCTGTGTGTGCAAGTCCTTTGTATTCTGACTTGCTGAAGATGATAGGAATCTAGAATAGGTTTTTGTCTCACATAAAGGGAACTTTACACTGCTGCTCTCAGCTGGGGACTACCATCTTACCCATTGAATTTTTGAGGCCCTCTGTAAGGCTTCCCGTGTTAAAGACTATAAAATTGTATTCTGACCAAAATATTACTACCTGACAATAGATGATACCTCAGACTTGACCAAATCCCAAATCTTGAGATGGTGGTTGTCCCACCTAACACAGCAGTAGTGTCCACAAAATCTAATTAATTCCCAGTAGCCTTACTGGGGTTTATTGATTTTCTTTTCTGAGTCCTTCATCAAGAAGCAAACAGTAATCTTAAAGCATCTGATACATCTCAGAAGAATTAGAATTTGAGCAGCTTTTATGTGGATGAGAGCTTATATATGAGAAGTGAAATTTCAGTGACAGACCATGGAGCTAACTTGCCCTGATGGAGGAATATAGCTTCTCTTTCTGATCTGGTCTAGCTGGGTGTGTGTAGGGGTGAGTTAACTGTTTCCCTGAAGTGTGACCTATAAAAGGACTTTGAGGAATGAGAGCTGGATATCAGTCTGGGAGCTAATGCTTAACAGGCTGACTTCCTTAAAGGCTTTTATCTTGAAGAATTGCTTCTCAGAGTTGTGGGGAGATGGGTTATGGCGTTTTCAGCCAGTTTTGGTTCATCTCATTTGCTGCTAGCTCCAAGGACATTCTGTTTTGAAAACAGGAGGGTGATACTGAATTTGGAAGAAGCTCAGGGAAAAACTGAAATTTTCCTCCCGGTGTCCAGGGCAACCTTACCTTGCTGACTTTAAGCTCCATATCAGTGGGGGGCAGACTGTGAGCAAAACTGGAGTTTTGTTTCCCTTACTGTTGCTATTCACCAGCATTTTTACACAAATGTTTCAAAACCTAGAATATGTGTGTGCTGCTTAAAATGTATGCTCATTTACCTCCTTAAGGAATGAATTGAATATTAGTTTGCCCTTGTCCCTAGGAGTGTGGGAAAGCAGCTGCTCCTGTTCAGTTGTTTTGATAGAACCACTCACTTAAGCTTCTTTCCTGCTTCAAAGTTCAACAATAGTTCAAAGTTCCTCAAACCAAACCAAGTGTTCAGGTTGCTGAATGATTAAACACAAGATATATACTGAACTGTTCTCAGCTTTCTTAATCAAGTCATGATGTACTTAGCCTGTCTAGCTTCTTTTTAGTTATTTTTCAGGTGGGTACATACACTTGAATGTATAGTGGAGAATAAGCTTCACGGAACAAAAACTTGATGATAATAACATGGGTAATATTAATGGAATTTGTTGCTTTCTAGCCAGAGGTGCCTGTGGAAGTCTGTTTGAGCAAGCAGGGGATTTCCTAGTTCTCCTGTTGAGAACATGTACTCGCAAAAAGCCCTTAACAATAAATCCATTATATTGTATTTGTTCCAAAATCAGCCTGAGATGTCCTAGTTCAACATATGAAACAAAGTTTTAAGCTTTCCCTGAAACAGCTTTTAAACAGCTTTAATCTTCGCCTGTAAGTTTATTTGTGTCTATTTTCTTCCGTGCTGAATCTGTCCTCTAGAATGGTTATTTTCCTCCGAATTCTGAGAATTGTCATCTTGATAAGAGTATTTCGTCTGGCTTCGCAAAAGCAGCAACTTGAAAGGGTGACCAGGAGAATGGTAAGTTGGCCTCTTAACGTGTCTAGACCACTTAGTAGTAGTTTCCAACTCATTCTTCAGGCAGCATCAGTGGTAAGTAGCAAGACTGACCGTGGCCTATTGGTCTGCAATTGCTTGTGTTGCCCAAGCAGCACATCTGTTTGATGTCCCTGGCAGGGCTCTGGAGCTTTGCTTCCAGCCTCAGTAAAGCCTTGTTATTCTTGGCTTTGTTCAAGTAAGCAGCAACTTGACCTGGAAGGCTGGCATATCAAAGGGATTTGACCTTTGATATGCCAAAGACCCCCGTGTGTCTCAACTGACAGTTTCTAGCTTGTGTGGTACATAGACTGTTTTCCCTCACATGGGGAAAGGTAGGAGTTCTAATTAGGAGCTTTATTTTGGGTACAAACAAACCAATCTAGCTGGTGAAGCCGTATCCACTGTCAATGCCTCTTCTTTTCATCAGGAGTGTTGAAGTCATATTTTAAGCTTCAAGTATGTTCTGTTGTTTAGGAATCAGCAGTCTTTAACTTTATTCTTTTTTCCCTCAGTCTCCAAACACTCAAATAACAACGACAGATTCATGCTGCAGTATTCATAGAATCTGCAGTGTTCTTTTCACTAGAAGAAATGTTGGTATTTAAGGGTAAAAATTCTATACAGAGCTTCTACCTAGAAGTTAATACAAGGAATTTGCTCTTGGATAATGCTGTAATGAAGTGAGGCTCTGCTACTCAAGCTTAACTGGACAGTCTACATGGTTGCAATTTCCTAGTAACAGGAAACAATTGGTGATCATTTGCATTCTTGTGGAAGATTAACTCTTTTTTCTTTTTTTTTTTTTTGATCAGGTCTCTGAAAACAAAAGACGTTATGTGAAAGATGGCTTTGATCTGGATCTCACTTATATTACTGGTTTGTGGAAACAAATGTCACTTTGCAGCATGTTATGTCCTGTGAAGACTTGTTTTGCAGTTAATAAGAGCTTGTCATGAATTACAGACATGTTTTAGACTCATGAAATTGATGAAGTCAAACCAGGCCTACTCCTTTTCTGTGGGATTTTGAAATATGGATTCCTGACTGACACTATTCTCCAGAATTAGCCTTCTGGGAGAGTTGTACATGCTGTATGTAATGATAGAAATTTATCCTAGTTCCCTAGGCCTAGGGAACCAGTGTGGGGAAACTCTTGCAGTATTTTTGCTTCTGATTCTATGGAGACTGACACTTGATGGTGGCTGATGCTTTGGGAAGCATTATCTGTCTTGCTCTAGCTATGCTAAATGTAGAGGAAAGCCTACCAGAAATGGGTAGATTGTTCTTATCATTAGGGTAAGAATAAGACATTTCATAAGGATATTTCTCAGTCATGTAGTTCTTATATGCAGGGGGGCTTCCTGCTGTTACTTGTGATTGCTGTCTTCTCAACAGATCGAATTATTGCAATGTCATTTCCATCTTCTGGGAAGCAGTCTTTCTACAGGAATCCCATAAAGGTAAAAATCATACCTTCCAAATTCACTGTTTCTGAAACCTGTTTCTTTTATAGATTCCCACTAATTTACATGTGGCCTAGATCATGTCAGTCCTAGTTTTGCTGCCTTTGCTGGTTGGAATGACTGATTGATGGTCTCCAGTGCTGCACTGCTTATGTTGTAGTGTCTCAGCTAAACCTAGTGGTTTTTTCTCACAGTGGGGACACACCAGTGCTTTGATGCTCCTGTTCTTTGGGAATGTTTTGAAGAATCAGGGTGGTTCTGTCCCAGGCTAGTAATGGTGATAAGATCTATTCAATTCAATAAAGTGGCTTTAAAGGTCTGTATACATAATGTCCTCTCAGAGCTCTGCTTCCTGATATTGTAGAAACATGTAGGGCCAAGAAGATAGCTGCAGTAGTACTTTTATTCCAAATGAGAACGTGAGCTGTCAGGTTGGAAAGGCCTGCTTTCCAAGTACTGTTCATGACTGCAGTTGTTGATCCAGCCTGGGGGATGGGGGGTTGAGGTGGCAGTGGAAATAACAAGAAGAGCACTAACTACTCTGAACTCATTATTGCTTAGGAAGTTGCAAGATTTTTGGACACCAAACATCCAGGCCACTATAAAGTCTATAATCTCTGCAGTAAGTATGTTTAGCTGCTGACTATATTTGAGATAAAATTTAATGTATAAGTGAAAAGTATGAAACCAGAAGCTAAGCATGCATGACTTTGGCCAAGTTACCTCTGGTTTTTTTCATTTTAATCCATCTATTGACACTGCTGTATTTTAGAAACTAGTACATGCTCAGACCAGCCGTTGTGTGTTACAAACCACTGTCTTTGTTACAATCCTTCTCCCTTCCTGGCATAACTTCAGCTCTTTCCCTATAGGTGAGCAAGGCTATGACCCCAAGTACTTTCACTACAGGGTGGAAAGGATCTTCATTGATGACCATAATGTCCCAGCACTACAGTGAGTCTTGTCAAGAAAATACATACGTTGTAATAGTTCTGTGTAAGGCATTTGCCTTGATCTGCTGACTTTCCTCTTATTTAGGGACATGCTGAAATTCACTGCCAGTGTCCGTGAATGGATGAGTCAAGATGAGAAGAATGTCATAGCAATTCACTGTAAAGGGGGCAAAGGTAGGATTTCTCATGTGCAATCTGTGTATGCTACAAATCACATTTCTTTGTTATTGTAACTTCTTTGATTAAAGTTTGGCCTTAAGCCGTACTATGAGATGAGTTTACGGTGTAATTTGACAAATACTGCAGATACTGTGATGACTAGCATGAGTACAGTACTCTGTTTAGTATTAAACAGCTCCATTTTTAGGTAGTCTAAACTGGTTCTTAGTCTAAGCTGTTATTATGTCTTCTAAAATGTTCTTCAATAACTTTCTGGTTTTCTGGCAGCTGGGACAACAGTCCCCTAGGAGAGACTGGGGATAGGGAGGCTACTGAAATTGCTGCTATTAAAAGTGTTAGGCTGCTGCTTTGGCTTCTGGTAGCCAGTCACCCATGCTGAATATTGTGCACTATAATATAGCTCAAACTATCTGTTGTTTAGGTTGAAAAAAGGCATTTAAGATCAAGTCCAACTGTTAATCCAGTACTACCAGATCTACTGCTAAACTGTGTCTCTCAGTGCCACATCTGCTCATCTCCAGGAATACCTCTGGGAGTGGTGATTCGGCCACTTTCCAGGGCAACCTGTTTGATCTGAGCTTGATGACCCTGTTGGAGAAGAAATTTTTCTTAATATCCAACCTAAGTCTTCTCTGCAACAACCTGAGGCCATTTCCTCTCCTTGTATTGCTTGTTGGAAGAGAAAATGGAAGAGACCAGCCCCACTTCACTATGACCTTTACAGTGAGAAGGTCTCCTCTGAGCGTCCTTTTCCCTAGGCTAAACGCTCTCAGATCTCTCAGCTGCTCATTGAAGAGTTGTGCTCCAGACCCTTCCCCAGGTCTGTTGCCCTTCTCTGGGCACACTCTAGCATCTCAATGTCTTTCTTGCTGTGAGGAACCCAAAATTTAATGCAGGATTCAAGGTGCAGCCTCTCCAGTGACAAGCATAGAGGGACAATCACTGCCTTGGTCTTGCTGGCCAGAATATTGCTGATACAGGCCAGGATGCCATTGGCCTTCCTGGCCACCTGGGCACACTGATTCATGTTCAGCTGCTGTTAACCAGCACCCTCAAGTGTCTTTCCAGTGGGCTGCTTTTCAGCCAATATTCCCTGAGCCTGTAGCACTCTGTGGGGTTGTTGTGACCCAAGTACAGGTCCCAGCCCTTCACTTTATTGAACCTCATACAGTTGTCCTTGTATCCTAGCTCCATTGTCCCTACCCTCTAGCAGATCCTCCTACTCAACTTGGTGTCTTCTTCAAACTGACTGAGGATGCACTCAGTTCCCTTGCCCAGATTGTTTGTAAAGACATTAAACAGAACTGGCCTCCATCCTCTGCCCTGGGATCACCACTAGTGACCAGCTGCCACCTGGATGTAACTGCATCCACCTCAATTCTCTGGGCCTGGCCTCCAGACAGGTTTTTACCCAGTTAAGAGTGCACCTGTCCAAGCCATGAGCAGCCATTTTCTCCAGGGGAATGCTGTGGAAAATGGTGTCAAAGGCTTTACTAAAGCCCAAGTAGACAACATCCACAGCCTTTCCCTCATCCATTAAGTGGGTCACCGTCTCATAGAAGGAGTTCATGTTGATCAAGCTGGACCTGCCCTTCATAAAGCCATGTTGACTGGGCCTGATCCCTGGTTGTGCTGTATTTGTTGTGTGATACCACTCAAAATGATCTGCTCCATAACTTTACCCCTCTAAAATGTTCCAGGTACTGCTGGACCTTAAATCAAGATACACATGATATTAGGTGATAGAGTACAATGAAGTTTTATAGAAAAAAGAATAGTGGAAGCTATCAAACATATGAGCTAACCTGCAGGTGCTGCCTGAACCCACACTGGTGTGGGAGCTGTTGAAATGCATAAAGATCTGCAAATAAGCCAAATTTCCCTGCAAATATCTGCCACACCTTTAGCCACCTGCCATCACTACTGCAAATACTTGGCTTAAAAGTAGGTGGTTACTTAACATTAAATAGTTGCCCCCAGGTGGAGCTCTGTCTTAAAAGGTTTTGCAAAACTGAATGTTGAAACTACCTGCAGGTCAAAACCAGCTTGAAGAACAAGTGTAGGGAGGGTGACTTGACCTCTGAGATTTTTAAATTAAAAACTGAAACTGTATAGGCATCGTCATGCTAGCAGACTTGATGGCTTCTTAGTAGGGTTGCAGGGAAAACAGCTGGGGCAGAGAAGCAACTCTTGACACTTGCAGCATTGGGAAGTTTCAGTTTGTAGCCTCATTTAGTAGAGTGCTTGACTCTATTTCCTGCTGGAGTATGGAGATACTGACCAGGTGCCTAAGTGTCCCTAGTAATGAAAATGTGGGGGCAAGGAACAAGTTGATACCACAAACAATACTACATACTGTAGTATCTTGTCTTTAACTGATTCTTCTCAGAAATACTTGACTACTTGTCTGTCACTTACAACTCTTGAAATAGATAACAGGAGATGACTTCACCTTCACAAAAATAATCCCAAATACCTTTGAACTGCTCTAATTTAACTTGTATTGTATGTCTGTTTCAGGCAGGACTGGAACAATGGTCTGTACGTGGCTCATAGACAGTGACCAGTTTGAGAGCGCAAAGGTAAAAACTGCTGATTTTTTTTTATTTGTTTAGTATTCAAAATGTCCTCTTAGGATTTACTAAATTGGTGAAATGCACTAATACTCTGCAAAAATTCTATTCTAGAAAAAAGATTCTCTGAAAAGTCTAGTTTTAAAAAAGTTAATTGAAGTCTTGCTACAGTGTAAATTCTGATGGAGACTATTTGTGATCTAAAAGAAGTGAGAAAATAGCGTTTAAAAGGTTACCAACTTGAAGGATTCTTTTTAGAGGAATAATGTGTCTAGGGTCTTGAGCAACAACTTAAGCTGGTGACTTCTGAGCAAACTCTCCTAAAGATAGTATCACTGGTTTTAAGTAGTTTTAAGCAATTTTTTTTCCCAGTCTTCCTCCAAGTAGTGTGAGGCATCAAGAATTGTCTTGTCTTGACAGCCAGCATTACAAAAGGAAGCTCTTCTAGGAAAAGGGAGAAAGATCAAGTCCCAGCCAGGACAGGTGCTGATGCTGCTTTAGTATCCCAGGTCTTATATATCAGCTGGAGGCTGGGGATACAGAAGGCCCAGGACACTCAAGGTGGTCTGGGCAGACTGTATATGTATATCCATTTAATCACTTGTTTTCCTCTGAATTAGCTTTGTGAAGATATGACCTAGTGTTCAGCTTGTCTGCCACAGACCACTTGAGAAATATAAATGGTTCTAAAGCAATTGCTTGAAAGTTGTATTGCTCTCCTTCACTCTTTCATGAATGACAGATTTTTGTCTGACCTCCTAATTAGTACTTTCTTCTTGTAGTTAAAAGTCTCCTTTAGAAGGTACCAAAATAATGATTGTATATTTCCACTTGCATTCCTTTACTGGACTTGAGTAGTGTAGTTCTAGTTTACTATCTGCTTCTCAAGAAGGGGAATGATGGTGGGATGGATAGCTTAACCCTTGAAATTATTATTCTGTGTAGGAAAGTTTGGACTACTTTGGGGAGAGAAGAACTGATAGAAGCACAAGTACCAAGTTTCAAGGAGTTGAAACACCCTCACAGGTAAGCTCGTGCAGGTTCAAGAGCAGCAGTCAAACCAATACTAACCTTGTGAGTGCTTGTGCTACCCTACCTCCCCTGCCTTGTTTCAGAGATGTAGGTTCCTATTACTTGCTTAACTCCTCAACTTCCTGTACTCTTTCTGTGAGAGCTGGAATATGAATAGCTGACAGGGTTGCCCTGCATCTTTCCCCTTCCCCTTATGCCTTTCTCTGATCTGAAGTATAGTATCTAGGATAACAACAGAATTCTTGAGATTGGGAAAACTTTCAGTCCAACCCCACTGTTCAAGCAGGGTGACCTGGACAGATGTGTCTGGTCAGGTCTAGAATATCTGCACAGATGCAGATTCCACAGCATGTCTGGGCACCCTCACAGGAGCATGACACTGTAAGGCAATTGGACTGTTTAACAAGGAAGCACAGAAGCCTCTGGCCGAGCCTGGGATGGGGCCATGGCACTGATTTGGCTTGGGTGGAGAAATGCATCTTCTGCAGACTCCATTCACTGCGAAATACTACACAAGTTTTTGTCTCAGACCACTTTTTTGCACATCTTGATTTACTGTTCTGCGTGATGCAGAGTTGGGAAGTGAATCTAGTGATGGATACTTAAAATTGCTGGTATAAAATAGAAGTATAGCTGTCCTTGAAATAAAATGAAAGTTTCTAGTATGTTTAAACATTTGGCCTCTTAAGGTTCCAATATAAAATATCCTCGCTTCTTGCTGAACTAAAAAGTACAGAATTCCTCTTAAAACATGAAATTTAAATGCTGTTTAAAAATGTAGACGTTGAATTTGTCTAGAAGATTGTTTCTGCAGGGAAAGGGAAGGAGAGCAATTGTCTTTCTTCTTAGTTTTGGACTTTGAAGAGCTATAAATGGAGTATAAGATATATTTAAATCCTACTTCTGCCTAGAATTAATCTGTGGTAGATACAGAAACTGCATAATGTGTCTGGGTTTTTTGCATTACAGAGTAGGTATGTTGGGTATTACGAGATCCTGAAAAACAAGTATAACCTGGAACTCCCACCAGAGAGACAACTCAAAATAAAAAACCTCAAAATCCACACTATACATGGTAAGAACTCTTGTATTTGGGCATTTCTCTATCTGGTAATGGTTTCCTATTACAGGCAGCTGATAACTGTCTCTCTTGCTAAGCTCGTTCTAGGAATGTAGACTTACTGGGATTTGAGAATTTAAATGATGCAGACATAATGAAGAGTATTTTGTAGTCAGTTGCTCTGTGTTGTCACTTTCTAGATGTCTGACCAAATGATGGCTTACATACAACCTGCCCTTTTTTGGAAGGGAAATCACTTCTTAAGTGAGACTAACTCCCCTTGTGGAACTGGATCCACTAATGTTTCTGACCTTTAGATACATGCCTGTTACAGTATATGTGTATTGATAATCTTAATCAAAGGCTGGAAGTTCATCACTCCTTGTTCCAGGGGAGTTCAAACTGCTGTTACTGTTCAGTAAATGGAACTAGATTTTTATATTAGCCTGTTCCTCTAGTGGGGGGAACTTCAACATTCAATTTTCAGCCACTGAATCCTGGCTTTCCTTTAGCATTTGAGTTCTCTAGAGTCTTGAGCAAGGCATTCTGGAAAGAAAGCAGTTTTGAGTGGGATTGCACTTGGTTTTCACGACTACTTATGTTTCCAACTAATGTCTATGCCTCTGGTATAATGCAACACTTTGTTCCTAGGAGTTGGGAAAGGCAATGGAACTGATATGAAGGTGCAGATAATAACAAGGAAGAGAATTGTACTACAATGTGTATGTGGCAATCAAAAGAACTGCAGGGTGAGTACTATGAAGACGTACAAGTTGAGTCACAGAAGCTAAAAGCTGATTTATAGGTTAAAAGTGTCTTAGTTTTGTCCAATGTTCAGTTTCTACATAGTCTAACTAAATGGATGATGTAAATTCCAAGTGGACAAAAAAGCTAAACTTTGCCAAATCTTAATAAATGTAGTGGTGAGATAGTGAAAGATTTCCCTGGGAGTCATTTAAATGCAAATAGTTCACTCTGTCCTGAGCAGCTTAAACTGTTGTCTGTTATTCTAGCACTGCTGTTGTATTTGATGCTATGAATGAGTAGTTAGGTCTTGTCCTGAATTGGTCCCTTATCTTGCTGCAGAAACTTTCATAAAACAAATTCTTTATTCTGTTATCCAGCTCTTCTTTGATTCTGAAAGTGACACTGTAGTCATTGGCTTGGAAGACTGCCCTGTTCTAAGTGGCGATGTGAAAGTCAGATTCGAATGCAATTCTGTAAGTACAGCAGTGTGAAGACCTTCAGTTGGGTATGGGGAGAGGCTGCAGTGCAAACTGCAGTGGGTCCTGCCTGGCTGGGCAGCCCAAGGCAGAATCTGTTCCTTCCCAGTGACTCCTGCTGTGTCTCACTGTGCAGTGAGGGATGCAGCAAGTGGTGTAATATCAGCCTAGGCAAGCAGGAGAAGCACCTGGCTGTTCAAACAGCAGTACAACCAAGGCATTTTAGTTGGGTACCTGCTGCTCCTAACCATGGGAGTCTCACCTCATTGTATTGAATTATTTGGTACTGAAATAATTGCAGAGAAAATAGTGATCTGTGTAGGATATGGGGCTCTTCAAGTGTACGGATTCTGGCACTGTAGCTGTTTAAACCAAATTAGTGAAGAAAAGTGGGTACCCTTGCTCTACAAACAAAAGTTCTGTTGTGTAACACAGTCCTTAAACAAGGTGTTTGTGTTTAGGCTCTTCCAAAAGGCTATGATGGCTGCCCATTCTTTTTCTGGTTCAACACTTCCTTTATTGAAAATAACAGGTAAGGATATTCGTGAACGCCTTCAGATCCTAACTTCTGGTGTCTGCATAGAGCTGAAAGATCATGAACATAGTACTGAAAGCTGAGATAGGGCAGGCCTGATCAGCCAGCTAATTTTCATGTGTGTACTGGTCTTTGATCCTCAGCTGTAACTTGTGAGCTGGCAGTTGCTTGTGCTGTGACAAATATTTTAAACATATGGGAACTTTTTATCTTAACTTAAACCACTGGATTATTTCCTTGGTGCTCTCTAACCATTGTTAATGAATTAGAATTAAAAAGTGTAATGCTAACTATTCAAATCTGCCATCCTCTACAGTATGGCTGCCTGAGAAGTAGGAACTCAGTAGCTTAGCTGGCAGATATTACGGCCACAGTTAGAGGTACTAATGCTTGGGATCACAAAGAAAGGCCTTCTTATGGCTTCTCATGATCTTGATAAAGTTAGAAATTACTGTGATTTTGCTTGCAGAGACTGGAACTCCTGGAGAAGCTCCAGCTGGTGAAAGTTGGGCTTGTCTGCCTTGCTTTGGGAGTGATGTAGAAATGCAGAGACAAGAGAGCCTTATCTTTGGTGTGCCTTGCTTGACAGATTTAGGTAGAAGAACAGTGAACTTGGCATAGGAGATATAATTACTGTGTTCTCCATGACTGGAATAGAAAGAAGACAGGTTTTACTTAACTGATCCTGTTAGAGCCTGAGGAGAGGTAGCCATGAGTCTCTTTGTAACAGTTAACTTAATATGCTCAGCCAGCCATGCACCTTGCTGTCTTGATGCAGACCAGTTAAACCAAGCCAGTGCCAGGAAAGATGTATGCCAGCTGTCTGATGGCCCTGCAATGCTGCCATCTTGAGGGTTTTGCTGAAGAGCTTTCTTTCCTCCAGAACTATGGATGATGCCCCACTAGGCTACCTTTTGAGTACTGAATCAAATCCTTGCCTTTAGGAAGGTTAGTTATTAAATTCCTGGCACTTGCATCATATCAGGAGGCCTTGAGTTGAATGCAGTATTAATTTCTCTCTGTCTTGCACTGTGGGGCTCTGGGAGGGTGATGGGGAGCCAATCCACAAACCCATCAGGTTGCCTTTGTTTCTGAGACGACTTAAGATACAAAACACTGTGCAAGCATGGCTGATGTCTGTTTAAATTCAAGGTCTGGGGCTGGATTTAATATTCTAGGGCTGAGCTAGAAGATTTTTCAGCTGGCTAAAAGGAAAAGCATGTCTTAGGCTGTAAGATATGGTACTGAATTTTGTCTTTCAGACTCTACCTTCCCAGGAATGAGCTGGATAACCCTCACAAGTCTAAAACATGGAAAGTTTATAGTGAGACATTTGCTGTGGAGGTGAACTTTATTGATGCATAAGGGAAATCTGAAAGAAGGAAAACATGTAAAATTCATCTCTTTCCTGGAGAATGTCTGTTTCAGTATAAAGTGAAGCAGTGTCACTTGGATGTCTCTACACAGAAATACACTAAGTACAACTTGTCAAATAAAGCTACATGAAGTTCTGTTGTGCGGGGCCAAAATACTCTGAAGAGTTACTTAAGGTCAGTTGACTGTCACATCATGGGCTGTTGGATTCCTGGAGCTTAGATACCTCTGCATACAGCTAATTCTTGTTTGAGTAGTCAAAGACAATTACCTGTCTTTAAGCATGAGAACTAACGTGATGGTGGATGAAGACCAGCAGTCTGCATGAGACTGGAAAAACCTGACATGATTCCCTCAATAATGGGGTTTTCCACAAATCAGTAGAATATGGGAATTTTGAGGGAGAAATATTAATCTCCCTCTGTTGGATTGTTGCTTCTTGAGCAGAAGTCTTAGTATTGAACTGCTCTCCATCAGTAATCAGTGATGTAGTGCTTTGAGCAACACCTGGCCTGGGAGCTGCCTGTGGAGGTTGGAGACTGCACAGCTGCTTTTCTACTGCTGTACCTCTCCACAAAGGGCTGCAATGGCCACTTGCCCTAAGGCTTAAGACTGGCTCTCATCAGCTGCTGAGCATTCCAGCTGCCTGGGATCAGTTAGTGTGGCTGCCTTAATACCTGCATATGAGGGGTTGGATCTGTGCACCTGCTCATTTGAGCAAATAGTGAGAATGCTCACTGGCTTCTCTTGAGTTGCATTAAAACCTGTAATGCACAAACTTCCAGGATGCTTATTCTACTTCCAACTATTTTCAGCAGTGCAGCTCTTCTATGGAGACTGTGCCTTCATTTGTGTGAAATGTGTTGAGGTGTTAGCTTCTTGGTTCTGCTGCTTCATTAGTCTTGTTCCTGGCAGCCAAAAAGTGGAAGGGAAATGACATAGCTTTCCAGTTAATGAAATAAGCAGAGGTCATATACCTCTGTGTTTACTTGAAGGTAAAGGTAGTTATGTACTATGAGGTATACCATGTGTGGGCTCAACTTCTGCTACTGCTATGTGTTTACCTCAGTGTCCACGTGAATGTGGCTAGGGGCTAAAAAAGGATGCCCTTTCATTGCAGCTACTAGTGGCTGATGCCCAAGTTCATTTTGGCTTAACTCAGGCAATTGGATATCTGTCCACTGTCCTAGGATGCCCTTTGATGTAGTTGGCAGGGCACCTAAGGTGACCCATCTTCCTGCTTAGGGAGTGAGCCAGTTTGTTCAGATAGCAGCAGCAGAGGCTGTAGCACCAAGTCAGATTTTCCTAGCTGAAGTACATGCAGTTAAGTGAAAACTAAAGTGAAAGCAGGAGTGAGGAACAAAATAGCTATAGAAGGGATATACAATGTTTCTCTTGTGAGGTACCACTGCTCAGAAGAGGGTAACAATGGACCCTGCCTCCCTGCTGCACTGACCTTCGCAGGGTAGTGGGTGTGGGTATTTGTCCCTTATATTTGTGGAATTTAGGTGACCTGTGCTGAACTCCTGGCATTCTTCTGACAGAAAACCTTACAGCCTGTATTGTGGTAATCTAGTAACTTGAAATTTGAGGTGAACATTAATACTAGAACTGACTTTGGTACTAAAAAAGCAACAGGCCAAGTGCTGAACTATAGGTTTCATTTTCCATAGATGTAAAATCAGAAATTGTTTCACAGCATCTTACTCTAGCTGCCTCCTTCCCCTCAGTTTTGAGGCTTTATATGTTCATTGATTGTATAAAGTCTTTTTCTTTCATTCCAGAAAGGTGATGCTGAATTCAACCTTTTTGTTTCTCAGCTAGATGAGCTTGTTAAATGGCATAAACAATCATCAGGTACTCAGTTAATCAAATGAAACTTTATTTCTGTGAATTCCTATACCAACATCATGAAGTTTTTAGCTGAACAACTGATACATGTGTACAGCTTAAGCAGCTCTGAATGGAAAAATTACTGCTTACATCAACTTCAGAAGGTAAAATCTCAAAAATGCCACCAGCTTCTTGCTGTTGGTTGTTTTAAATACCCTGCTTCTCTTGAAGCTTCAATTTTTATACTAAAAACTGCAACCATGAGCTTTAAAAAATGAAAGCAAAGACAAATCTAAGAAATAGATTGAAGTATTCCACTGAGGTGGAGTCTGTCCTCACCTTTTCATAACTACTAGAAACATGTACAAATATACTCTTTCTCTTAGCTAGACAACTTTAAAAAGAAGGGGAAGTCTAACAACTCTTAAAGCCTCATCCTCCTACCTGAATCATTTAAACATTTGGTATAAATTCCTTTTAAAGTACTGGCAATGCAGAGTAGTGCTGCCCCTATGGTACCAGTCAGTCAAGCTGTATTGGTGCAGTAGACACTGAAGATCCTTCAGCCATGCCCTGCTTTAACTGCCTTTTCTCGTGGTGTATGAAAGGGACATGAATTGTTCTTTCTGCAATTGGAGGCTGGAGGAGCAAGAAGATTTTGTGGAACTGCAGCAACAACCTTCCATCAAAGAGGCTGCAACAATGCAAGGAATGAGCCAGTTTAAGTGCGCCCTGGCTCCACTGCAAGAGGCAGCAGGTATAGAGGGGATTTCATCTATGCCTAAAGCTTGTTCCTATTTCTGGGATCTGAAAGCTGTAACATGCAAAATTAGGTTGTTTCAGCTCTGTCTGTCACTGACAAATGTGGTTGCTGTGACAAGCTGCTAATCTCCATGTAGCTGTGATGATCTCAGTGAGTTAAAGGGCTCTGTCTGTGCCCCCCGCTGCCCCCACACTGGTGGGCTGCACTTAAGAGCACCCAGGCAGCATCTCTGTACAACTCAGGACAAGTTTGTGCTGTTCTAAGACCTGCTCAACTTATTCCAGGATAAGGCAGTATCTCCTTCTCACAAAGCAGAACATGCTTGTAGAAAGAGCATTCTACTTTAAGAACAAAAGGGGCATCTAGAGAGAGGTGTCACTGCATCATTTTGGGTAATGCTGACTAACTACATATTTCATCAAATAACATGACAGAGCAGGCCATGCCCTCCAGGCCTGAAGGTGATACAAGCTATCCAGTCATATGAGCTTTTTCCACTCAGCTGAAGAGGCACAGCAAGTGGCAAGACTCCAGCCCCAGTAAGACTGCTATGTCAGAGACCATGGTGTCAGTTAACCACTCAGTTCTGGCTTTCTGTTCCTCTTCAGCTTCCTGTCCTTCCAGCATGTGGCCTCATTCGTGCCAAGGTGATCTAAACAGGAGCCTGCACGAAGTCACAATTCTGTGCTCAGAGGCAGCAGCTATTTTCAGCAGTGTCCCTTATGTTAAGTGGTGCTTAGCATACTCCAGCACTTCTTGACAGGATGCAATGCAGCATAGCCTTAATGTTGTTACTGTGCTTTTATCAAAAATGTAGGCATATCTTGGGCTCTAAGTCTCATATAAAGTAGGGGGTGAATGTTTCCTACTTTTATAAACCCATTCACTAGGACAGAGTACGTAAGTAAGGACACCCTCTTCCATGACCTTAGCAAGTCACAAAGCAGCAGGGAGCCAGAGCAGGACAGGGGTGTAGCTGGGTGAGGGGTATGTCCAAGTCATCTATATTCAGCAAGATTAGGCCAGAACTGATGTTATTTTGAGTCGGACATCAGCAACAACTGCAAAAGGTCACAATTGCAGCACAGTTTTAAAACCAGTGCTTTGCTGTAGACAACTCACAACCTACTCTTGCATGTTACATTAAATCCTACAGGTCAATGTAAATATTTTTAGCACCAGTACAGGTCGGGAAAGACATTTATGACATGCAGTGTACCTAGTGCAGAATCTGTAAGAGGGAGATAGTTCTGCTTGTGCAATTCAAGCAACATATACGCACCTCCATAAAATCACCTGATTTTTAAAAGATTACAAATCTTAAACTGGAGTTGAGTTCCTAAAATTAGGTCACTGATTTGGTTCTGCTCAGACCATCATGTGATCTATGTGTTTTTCATCATTTATTTAAATGACCCTTAAACAATCTCTTGTTCTTCGTTTGCTAGGCGGTATCAGTAAGAATCTATCTGTTTCATCATAAGTTTCCGGCTGTACTCGTAGGCAAGGAACAGTGCCCCGTTGGCCACGAATGCACGGATCATAGTTGGTGTTAGTCCAGAATACAAGGCAAGCACGCCTAGAAACGAAACCAGAGCCAGTTAGCAATTTATTCAAGTGGCTGTCTGCATCAACCACTCTGCTCTTACCTGTGAAGGATACTGAAGCAATGCTTTTGCCTAGAGGAGCATGAACAGAGAGCTGAACTCACTGGTGTAGCTACTGATTGCAGTGGTACTGGATATTGATATGGGAGTACCTAATGTTGTAACAGGAGTTCAGCCATGTAAGGGCTTATGCTAGATGTTTGTTTCAGGTATGACAAGGTCTTGGCCAGCTTAGATAACTTGACAATGGCTATACCACAGCTGGCAAGGGGGCAGAAAGACTATATTAAAGCTGTGCCCCAAGTCAGACTCCAGTTCTGATGAATATCTTACCTAGCAATGGGGCCAGGATTCATGTCTGCTGCCATGTATATTCTTAGACCCTCTTCCAAAGTGCCTGACACATGTGTTTTCCAGAGAGGAGATGCTGAGGTAGATGCCTCAAGTTGCCAGGCTGGATAGGGAGGTTTGATAAATCAATCCTTAACCATATATTAACTTCTAGAGGTGAAGAAAACTTCTGCATGGAACTTACCTAGTTCCTTCAGGTTTCATGTATAGATTTGGTCACAAGTAATAGAGCCCATTTCTTTATCTGCTTTTAATGCATAGTAATGCTTCTGTTAGGTTTAAGTGAGTCATCTCCTGAACCAAGAGGGAAGATGAAGTAGGTCTCAGTTTCTAGATTCCAAGCTTTCCACACTACATGAAGTAGGTATTTGCTTGCTAGAAACAGTTATTGTCTGTCTCTAACACATTATCACTGGACTAGGTTTCTTAGCTGATTTTGGGTATTGGAGGGTATAGATTTCAGCCCTATAGATTCAGTTGATCTGCTTGGATACTCACCTTCAGTTCTCACAACAGTTACAAATGTTCCCATAAAGCCTGCTTGTTTTCCAGCCATTGAAAGAACCTGAATTCTAGATTTGACACAGTCCACAGGATACACAGCAATCCACAGACAGCTGCCTCCAAAACCTCCACTTAGTAACAAAGGGATGGGACCTAAAAGTTAAGAAATATACTTTTATACACTACAGTATTCACCAACACAAATATAACATTATTTATTCTACAAGATTCAAAGAGAACAGAGGAAGCTGCTTATGACAAAACAGCAGTTGCTGTTCTCTCTCCAACCTTTAAGTTAATTTCAAGCCACTGGTAAATTGCAAGGCTTAACTAGAAACCCAAATATTATAAAGAGTGCCTCTTAGATTATTGGCCATGTTAAAAAACTAACTCAGAATTCAATTTTGATTGTATTAACTAAATTCACTTTTTTAACACTTGTAATCACTTTCCAAGGTTAATTGTGAAATGGTTTAGAGTAACATCATATAGTGTTACTAATCATATATAGAGAATTTGGTGCAGTAGAGTTATTTTGTAATCAGTCATTTCTTTCATGATATGCCCTGTTTTTGTATTTCAGATCAGATGTTTGTGTTTTGTTACATGTCCAAAATGCATGCAGCTGAAATCCTGACTCCAAGCAAGACTGGTTCAGTCTTTTAACAGGAGACAGGCAATCTTTCTTATACAACTGAAAGACACCCTTTTGACACCAAAGGGATATGTTGCAACCTCTAACCTTTTTGCTATACTTCAGTAATTGGAGCAGAGTAAAAGCCAGGAAGGGAAGATTTGATAGCACTTATGAAGATTTCCATAGACTTGTTTTACTGGGCAACTTTTGGTTACTTATTACTTCCCTTCCTCAAAGAGAATAGGAGCAATAGTCACCTCATATAGATAGATGTCACTATTTTCAAATTCACCTTAGTAGTATTAATAAAGGCTTTCAGTGGAAGATGCTAGAAAACTGAAAGCAGGCACAATGGATCACTGTAATCTTTGTAGGGATGTGCTGCTATGAATGCAGCCATGTGAATCAGAGACAGCACAAACAAACCACACCACCAAACAAGACAGCACTGTCATCTGCAGTGACTCAGTGTTCCAAAACTGGGGCTTATTTTGTGGTGATTTTACACATACCACAGATTCTGAGTTGCTAAACTGCAAGGACTCAAAAGGCTGGTACTTGGGAGCAACACTGCTTTATGATGCATTTTAAACAGGCTCCTACAGAGCCTGGTGTTTTGGACAGGAGCTGCATAATACCACAGAAGTAGAGCTTTGCTTTCAGAACCTGGGGAGTTAGCACAGCTGAGACTGATCTCACTGCAGCACAGAAATTCTTTCCATCCAAGGGAGATGTTGCCTTGTGCCCAGCAGTTTGATACATCTATGGTATGAGAGATTAAAGCTACAATTTTTCACCTTGAAGCATCACAAAACTCAAATTATGACATGAAGCAAAGCTCATGACATTCAGATATGGTGGTAATGAGAACTTTCAAAGTGGAAGGTATCAGAAACTGCCTGCAGAGCAGCAATGGAATTTAGCACTTCTCTTTCCAATTTGTTGTCTCACTTTAGACTTTATGATGAAATCTGTTGTTAAGCTAAGCATATGTTAAAAGATAAAGAGAATTTAGCATTTCTCTCTTAATCTCTTTTCTTTGTGACTTATGCATCAGTGATACGTATTCCTTTAACTGAAAAATGTTTTATAGTTTGTCCTTTTCTGAAGGTGTAACAGTACAGTAACAATGGGTGGGGATGTCCTGGACAGACCACATGTTCTCATCAGGGCCCTGCTGAAGACCACATCAATACAATTCTCTCTTACTTGTGCCTCATAAGGTGCCCCCACAATGATCCAGGTGAAGAGAATAAGGAAACATCACCAAGGGACAATCTTTCAAGTAAACTTAAATTCTTTAATGTTTTGTCCCAGAACAGCTCTGCAGTCACACTATTTGACCTTGAATCAACAAGGCATCTTGGATCTGAAAAGCACCATTACTTGACCAAGGAAGGAATTTTCAGATGTCAAAGGCACTTGCTATTGCTACATACTCACATTCCCATTCTGTATCCAACTCCAAAGACAGAGTAGTACACCAATATACCGTTTCAAAGTTTCCTGCACTACCTTCCCTACATCCAGCATGACCATGGTGCCTCAGTCATGTGAGGTGATCCTAGGACATCTGCACATCTGTGGTCTAGCTCCCAGTATGATCACAAAAGACAGTGAAGAAATGAAACATATTGCTGGTGGGCCTACTTCCTACATTTTAATGGGTAGGAAAAGGTAAGGGGTTTGTAGGGTGAGCAAGCTTTTGAACCTTAAATAAATACATTTTTAAAAGCAAGACAATATTAGAAAAGTGCCCTTCTCCCTTAGTATGCCTCCTTGTAAGAAAAGCCCCCTGCAATATCAGAACAACCTGATATTAAAGGAATGCAAACTTTCAGGTGTTGAAATGCTCCATCCTCTTGGTAAAAATGTTCCCAGTCTTGAATACTTAAGTTAAGCTGTGATCATCTAAACCAGCCAGCTGCAGTGACTGGTTAGTAGACAGCTCTGTTATATTAGACACCATGTTGTCACACTAAGGCCTATATTCCAAAATTGACTACACTTACACTGTCAGAGGAGAGCCTGGGACCTCACTTGCACTTGACAGTACAGTACTGGCAAATAGCAATTGCATTAAATTATATATACTTACTTATTTTAAAATGCAAACCAGATATTTATTACTAACCTGAGCTTTGTTTTCCTGTCTACTCCAACAATTCTTCTCACAATTTGTTGGCAAAATCCATAGCACATGAACAGAACGGAGTTCTCTGCAATGTTGGCTACAAGTGCTGGTGTGGTTCCCTTGTAGAAGCCTCGAAGTCCCACTTGCTTATAGGTTTTGACAAAACAGTCAACAAGTCCTTTGTACATGTTGGGGAACGTCTGCATCTTCACCTTTGCAGTGTCAAAGGGCTGGCCAGTCGCCACACAGGCTGTCCCACCTAGGCAAGCAGTGGAAGTTAACAGGGGCTGCATGTTATCACAACTGCAAAACCTATGCTGGAGCACCAGTATTAGGAAAATCACACAGAAAGCAAAGATTAATTAATTCCCTGTAGGAAAAGACAAGTGCACTGATTTTAGCACAATGGTGTCAATTGTCACTGGTGAATTTAGTTACCTTAAGAAAAAAAAAATCAGGCAAAGGAGCAGTAACATCACGATTCTCGTTAAATATTTTTTTATCTCATGAAAAGCAAGCATCTAAATGAATCAGCTCACTTTTATAAACTTGTACTGAATTAGAGGTATTGTTCTGCAATCAAGTCACTTGTGTCAATGAGTTAAATAATATTTTCCTTTGCCCATTAATGCAGTGGTTCAGAAGGCATCTCTGATTTTACATTCTAATAATAACAAAAAAATCTCAACCCTGAAAGATTAGTAATCAAGTGATTCCTCCAGGACAAGAGGAACACTGCTGAGAGTGCCAAACTGATCATACATAATAAATTGATAACCAAAGACTCAAACCCTTTACTTCAAAACTCCAGGTGGCTCTTAAGCACATTTCCCGAGACTGTCAAGTGTCAAGTGTAAGCTGAAAAAGGGCAAAAGGGCAAAGTTTCCCAACATGTTATCTTTTCCAAACTGAACTGCAAGGTCAATACCCTGAAAACTTGTGTGATATTTCCATCAATGTCATCAATAACCATTTTGCTCACAGTGCAGTGTTCTTCTGCAAGATCTAACCAGTTCTATAGTCTGCAGGAAGAGCTGATGTTACATTTTTTTCAGTAAGAAACAGTGTACAGCAATAGTAATCTATTAGAAGCAGATACTTGACAGGAAACACATGATAGGTGTACCTTATATAGGGTTCATGGTTTGGTTTTTAAGCAAGAGAGAACTTGACTAAAACAGAAGCTGATCTTTAACCAAAGCACAATTGACATGCACATACCTTTAATTATCTGTAAATGCAGATAGGAAAGCAACTGAAATGGAAACAAATTTGTGCATCCAATTAAGATTAGTTATTTTTCTTTTAAGTGGGGAGAAGAGTTAAGTATTTGTTTAACTAGTTTTATTTGCAATCCATTTTATTCTTTGCAAACACATATGTATAACATTGTTATTGCTTCTCTGCAAAGAGGCACTCCAGGCCTTTGAGAGAAACTCAGGATCTAGCTGCCATAAAACCTCATTCCCAACCAGATGGATCATTAAAAGCTTCAGAGCAAAATGCAAGGAAACACAAAGAGTTTCCTGCTCTGGAAGGATAACCAAGGAGAAAAGTAGCTGGCTCAGACCAGTAACACCCATGTAAGCTTCAAATGAAAAACAGAGCTAGGAAGGCTCAGCCAATGTTATTTGCAGGGAAGTCAGGTAGATATTAATCTACAGGACAAATGCTAGGTTCCTGTAATAAAATAATAGCTGTTGGAAGATGTCCAGGGAAACCAGGAATGGTCTTGGAAATGTACAGCTGAAAAATTGGGAGTTGACAGAATGGCTGTTCCAAAAAGGCTGTTATTGGAGTTGGGTCAAAAAGTCTAGTAAACTGCAACAATGAACTTTTTAAGCCTCAAGATAAAGACCAAGAGTCCTTGTTATTATCTGAAATATTAAGAAAAAAAAATTCTTCCAGCCAGCAGTAAAGAGTCATAAAGAACCCAACCCAGCCACAAAATTAAAACAAACCAGAAACCCAAAAATTCAATCTGTTTGAACATTCAAACAAGTGTGGTCCTAATAATGTGGCAGTGGTGGGGAAAACAGTCCTACTGAATCAAAGAAAGTATTAGAGGTTGCTTAGATCCTAGGCAAAGGACTGTGACCACAGACAGCCAAATGACTTATTTAATCTTGTCCAGAATTTGCTTGCCTCAATATGTCTTTACTTATCAGGTAGTCAAGACTGTATCTCGAGAGGAAGGTAAAACCAGGTTATGCATTTTCTGGAGGAACAAGCTGTTTGCTCACTTAATTACATTTTCTAAAGAGTGCAGAGATTGCCAGAATAATGGTTGTGCTGTTACCCCTTCTTTCTCACTCCACTGTTAAACTTCACTCTGACAAATGACTGCAAATAACTACCATTGAATGCACCTAACACCATTAATACTGCCATATTCACAGCATTAACAATGCCATAAAAGCACTGACTGCAATATTTATTATGTGGGAAAGAAAAAAAAATCACTAACATTGTCTAAACTAATTAAAAAAGTAAATTAGACAAATCTTCCACCTTTTCCATATAACCACTCTTAGGTTAGAAGTGTCAAAAAGACCCCTTTTCCCTAGCAGAGTTCAAAATTGCATCCCTGAGCCACGCACATGATCAACATGGCAATATCAGTGAGAAAGTACAACCATTTCCACACAACTGGTCCAGCAAAATTTTACAGCACAGAGTAGACTGAAGTGGAAATCAATTATGCAAATTCATCATCAGTTCTACTGCTGAGCTTCACAGGCTTTAGAGATTCACACCAGGATGTTGTCTAAGCCAGAAACCCTTGAGGCAGCCTTTTGTCCCTTTCGGTTAGGGACAGTTCCTGGGACAAAAGCAGCACCTCAATCACTCACACACTGACTTCCTTGCAAAACTCTACTGATACTCTGACTGATTCATAAACTCATGTAAGCAGAACTTAAACCTCCTTATAGAAAATGTTTAGTCCGAGAAAGGTGTTATGTCTTCTTCACTGTGCGGCAGGGGTTTTGCCAGGGAGGAGCAATAGTGATACAGTTACAACACAGGCTGAGGTCACTGCTTCTCCTTATATCCTTAAAACACAGAGGGTGAGGCTTTTTATAGCAACTGGAAACTGCTTTTTTATTTGTCAAAGGCATTAAAAGTGCCTCTCAGAAGTTTTGTGCAATTAAGCATTACTTACCTGCAGCACCTGCTGTGAGGTCAATAGCAGCCTGAACAGCAGAGTTGATCCTCATGCTTCACACTTGTTTATCAATTATTTCAGAGCAAAGTCTCCCGTTTCCGGTTAGGTATGGAGATACTTGTCTCCTGAGGGAAGAGAAAGATGAAACATACACAGTTTACAATAACTTGACAGGCAAAAGCATTACAGGAACACCCTCAGATCCATTTTTCCATTTAGAGATGGAAAATGGTTGTGCTCATGAATGAGACTTAGCATACTTGTATTTTGACTGATTTTGCTGCATTGGGCAGATCTCCTGGAGTATCAGTGCCTAGATTCAGCTCATTTGGGCTTTCCAGCTTCTTATCTCCCTGGATCTCTCAAATGAAAGCAAAAAAATACATCCAGGGAGCAGTGCTGAGGGTTACTTTTGTATCGATTACAGAGGCATAGTCTTCCCTCAGGTGTCTAAAGCTGGAATATTTCATGCTTGTCTCAGCTCCTCACCTATAAACAAAACAGAATCTGCTCTCCTCATGGTGAAGAACAGCTAAAAAAACTCTACCCATGATGATACATTGGTGGCTTTCGGAAGAGGAGTAGAAAGGGAATGAACATGAACATCTTGAATTGTGTCTGGCTGTCATGTTCCTAGTGCAAGTCCCCCCCACAACAGAATATTACAAGTAAGAATTACACTCTGTCTCTCAGGAAGGCAGCTGGAAAGCAGAAATACAAATGTGACACTTTGAAATAAAACATTCAAATGAATTCAGTTCTCAAGTTTGCATCAAGATACTTGCACTGGGCAAACAGTTAAAACAAGCTTATTTATCTGGGGTAAAATAACTCAGCCAAAGAGCTCCCACTGTTTCAGAGCCGTGCTGCTGTCTGCCAGTGCTGTCAAAAAGCTGCATGAGTCTTAAACCCCACACAAATATACATGTGAATTAGTGTCTCACTGGCTTTTAAGCCTGTCTCCAAGCACAGTACATCAGTAAACAGAACAATTTTCACTCCTCTACATACTGTAATGCTTCTTTTGAAGCCTGTTACCTCCCAAAATGTATTTTGGCCTAATTTCAATGGGAAACATAATTCCCAGTAGGCTACCTTGAAAGAATTATAGAAAGACACATTGTATAAACCACATCCTTTGTACAAGAAACATAGACACTTGAATACAACCAAGGCTTTATGAAAGCCTATCTCTAAACAGATTTATTATTCTTGAACATTAGAAAAATACACCAGTAGGCCAAATACTGTCACTCAGTGACTTTACCCATCCAATCTGTTAAATAAATCTAAATGAGTTTAAAACAAAATAAAACATTGCTCTTGCAATAAATGGCACTAACACAAGTAATTTCAGAATTGTGGCTTCAGATTTGAACTGTTTTGTTACAGACAGCATGGCACATCCAAGACCAAATTACGCTGGGCTATCCTACATATCTCATTAGTGTTCACACTGCACTCTGAGTTTTGCTCCTTATTTAGGGGAGAAAAAAACCAAATCATTGAGACAGACTTTGAATGAAAGGAATTACTAGAGAGCAACAATTGGCTGCGTTCAGTAAAATGTACACTGCTTTCATCACGCTGAGTGCTTATCGACCCATGCCGGTCCTCAAAGGGAGCATATGCCAAATCACCCACGGAAAACTTGGCAGCAGAAGGACAAAAAGTATATGCCTATAAAAATATGGACCTTTTAAGAGACAAGGAAGTTTAGTTGTCTGATATATCAGCACAGTACCACTTTCAGAAGATTTAAGTCTTAGTCAAAACTAAATTAGTATTATATCAGTACCTACCTTTTTTTTCCTGTTTGCAATAATACTACTATATTAAAAGTTGAACGTAGGTAGAACGAGGCAGCAACTGCTCTCTGACTTCCAAAGCAAATCCAAACCTCAAACCTAGAAATACAGAAGCGTTAGTTAGTGTAACAGGTCCTGCAGAGTCCCCTGCAAGCAGATGTTATTTCAGCCCCAGATGTTTCTCTCTGCCCATGCAGTCTCCAAAGACTGGGATGCACCCAGAAGGCAGCGCTGCTCCTTGCAATAGCCCGCGTGGGGAGGCCGTGGCTCCGCTTCCCAAGGTCACAGCAGGCCGGCACCCCGGGCAGCAGCGGCAGGGCAGCGGCGGGGCTCCCCGCGGCTGTCACACGTGCTGCCGGCGGGAGCGCACCGAGCGCTCCCGGGCCGCACCGCCAGCGCCAGCCTGCCTCAGGGAGGAAGGCTGAGCACTCCCGTTCCAACACCCGCCCGTTTGGAGCAGGAAGCGCCGGCCTGCGTTCGGCGGAGGCCCGCGGTGGCAGAGCCCGCCCGACCCCGGCCCGGCGCCTCTCCCGGGCGGCC